CACCGCCATGCACCGCTACAGGCTTGGGGAAGAGTGGCTGGAAAGCTGCCTGGCGGAAAAAGACCTGGGGATACTCGCTGACAGCCAGCTGAATATGAGCCAGCAGTGTGCCCAGGTGGCCAAGAAGGCCAATGGCATCCTGGCTTGTATCAGGAATAGTGTGGCGAGCAGAAGTAGGGAAGTGATCATGCCCCTGTACTTGGCACTGGTGAGGCCACACCTCAAGTACTGTGTTCAGTTTTGGGCCCCTCACTACAAGAAAGACGTTGCGTTGCTGGAGCATGTCCAGAGGAGAGCAACAAAGCTGGTGAGAGGTCTGGAGCACAAGTCTTGTGAGGAGCGGCTGAGGGAACTGGGGTTGTTTAGTCTGGAGAAGAGGAGGCTGAGGGGAGACCTTATTGCCCTCTACAACTACCTGAAAGGAGGCTGTAGCAAGGTGGGGCTTGGTCTCTTCTCCCTGGCAATGGACGATAGGACGAGGGGGAATGGTTTGAAGTCATGCCAGGGCAGGTTTAGGTTAGACATTAGCAAAAATTTCTTCACAGAAGGGGTTGTCAGGCACTGGAATGGGCTGCCCAGGGAGGTGGTCGAGTCCCCATCCCTGGAGGTATTTAAAAGAAGGATAGATGAGGTGCTTAGGGACATGATTTAGTGGTGGGATGGCAGTGTTAAGTTAAGGGTTGGACTTGATGATCTTAAAGGTCTTTTCTAACTTAAACGAGTCTATGACTCTATGAGGACACAGGGCTTTACTGGAAATCACCCTGGGGATTTACCAGGCTAAAGAGATGGCTCTAATACTTTACTGTTGGAAAAAATCACCTCCCTCACAAGCAGATTCTTCTGCGAAGAGGGACTAATTAATTTAAGACTAGAATTCCTCTAGTTTCATATTGTAACCTTTTGACTTAAATGGCTTTAACATTGGTTATGAAGTCTTCAAATACATAAAGGTTAACTGCAAAGAAAGAAAGGAATATGCTGTTCCCCTTCTTCACAGGGCAGAAGATAAGACACAGGGGAATGACAGCAACTGGCACATAATTTAGACAAAAGTTTAAAAATATTTATAAAAGGTTACTGAAGCTCTGAAGCAGACTGCCTGGGGGGATTCTGGAACCTCCATCACTTGTAATTTTTAACTCGTCAGAGTGACTTGGCTATAGGTCACCCATTAGGGTAGAGATAGCTTAGATGATATCTTATGTACCTGACAGACTTACAATTATTATACAAGACTAATGCTAATCCAGAATACATTCCCATGACCCTTTGCACCCAGACATACTGCTAAGTCTTCTATCAGTTTGTCTTCAAAATAGTGTTCTTCTGTTTCAATCCAAGATTTATCATAGCCTTGAAGAAAGAGATTGACGGCTCGGTGCCTAGAAAGGGACATTTAAAACAAAAACTTTAAACTTTTAAAGACAAGATTTGGTCAATATGAATTTCTTTAGCTTGAAAAACTGCCCAGTCATTACAACTACCATTTAAAAGGAAAGCAAAATTTCTATGGTAAAACCTGCCTAAAGCACCTGTTTTAAAAATTATGTTTGCATTAAAATGCTCTATTCAAAACTGTCCTGTTAACTTGAAAAGCTGATACTGGAATGAAATAACAATGGTTTTATGAACAGATAATACATAGAGCTTTATAGAAATTTAAACACAGATAAGAAATAAAATCAACTACTGTGCCACATTAGTGAGTGTTAATATAAAATATTTTAATATTATTTTAATTTAAATATTATGGTAACAGCAATAGAGAACTTTTGATTGTGCTCAAATATTTGTATTTTTTAATGTTCAGATTAGACTTGCATACCTAAAATAATAAACTCTTTTTTTTTTTTGTAAACTCCATGAAATTAAATGGATGACGAGGCTAGGAGAAAGAGGGTAAGTCAATGATGAAGTTTACTGTTTCTTGGTTTTTTTCTTGAGGACTCAATGCAAAATGGGCCATGTGACAACCAATTCTTCATGAAGAATTCTATCAATCATCTTAAATTTTTTAAACAATTGCCATTCTCATGTATTGAGAATGAAGAAATATAATTAAAATATATAGGAGTGCTAGTTATGTGCAGGTGACCTACTTGTTAAAGTAAGAATGGCTACAGACAGAAATATCTTTGTTCTATTTTCAACTGCCACAGCAGCCTCATTTCAAGCTAGTATGATTCTCATGCCCTTGTGCTTCCTGGGACAGACTTTAAGATTCATCCTACTAATTATGGTAATATGCATACTTTCAGTAAAAGATGAGAACATTAGTATGTTGAAAAGATCAGATACAGGTCTTCTGGAAATTATTTTTAGCAATTGCATGAAAAATAGATACGTCCACTTTTTCTGAATGTTCATTCCTTTGAGAATCTCAGGATTCTGAAACTTACTTGACTATAGATTGCACTCTCTATTGAACAAGAAAGAACAGGAAAAGGAGCCACAGGAAAAGGTGTGAAATACCTAGAGTATGTGTATACATTTCCTGTCTAGTAGAATGTTCTTCCCAAAAGTGCACAATAAATAGACAAGTTTTCAAATAAATAGTATCAGTTTATTACCTGCATAGAGAACATTTAGCATCAAATAATGAAGGTAACTGCGTATTTCCAGAGCCTTAAAAGAAAATTTATTTCCAAAGATGATATTACAGCGACACCAGCATGTCTCTTTTTATCTCCTATGAAAGGTGTCTACTTTTCAGAAAAGAAAACATATCAGGAGCAAAAGGTGGAATACGAGCAGGAGGAGAGAACCAGAAATTTAAAATTATACTTTTTGTTACTCTTTTCAAAAGATATATAAGAAGAAAGTACTTAGATCTATTAAAAGAAAGTAATGTACAAAGTATACAATATACAAACCACGCAGTTTGTCATGTACTGGTTTACATGTTTCCATTCATTTTGATCTCACCAAATAGCACTGTATGAACATAAATGCATTTGTGAAAGACAGAACAAATATAGCCCTTACCTTGGCAGATTATACAATGGTGCCATTCTAAAGCAGGCAACTACTGCTCTTTTCCTCTGTTTAGACAGCAGCTTATGCCACACTGCTTTTTTGGACCGCTGAGGATGCTCAACCTGTTACATAAAAAACACATGGAAAAATAAACAATGTGGCAATGTCCCTGATGTCTGGGTATAGTAATAATAATAATAAAAATGTGAGATAACAGGTAAATCAAGTGGAAAGATAACAGAAGAATATAGATGGGAAAAAGTGTTCTAGACAGAGTTCAAGAGATCAGCCAAATTGTAGAATCAGAATTTAGAAAATAAACTTAAAAGCAAAAATCTCCCATTCCTTGTATAAATATAGATATTCTTTTTTACTTCATCCTACTTCTTCTATCTTTTACATAGGATATTATCATCATTGAGGCCATCTCTCAGGAAACTACCTTTTAATACAAAGAATCTTCACTCTTTCTATCTTTTATATGTAACTCTTTATATATATATATGTAAATTGTACACCTTCACATTCCCTCAGACAATACTTTTAAAGGAATTGTCTTATATACAAATAATCTTTTATTTGTAATATTTACCATGATCAGCTACAGTGGAAAGGAATTAACTTTAAAAATGAGTGACAGGCACAAAGACTTAGTTAGGACTAAGGCCTTCCATGAATCTGCATAGCTAGAATGAACATAAGATATTCCAAAACACTTCAGCTACATTTCATAACATTGCAGCTCTGTCTTCAGGTATACTCTCTTTCTGCATCCTGGCTCAACAGAGGTGAAATTGGGTGTGCTTCATCATCATCTTTTGCTCTTTCAGTTTCTTCTGTTCACCTTCCATCCTTGCTTCCATCAGAGGAAAATGACTACTGTGGTCCAGAAGAGCAACTGCATGCAACAGTATACAGTCTGCCTGGGTAACTGGGAACTATGATTGCAGGCTGTGCTACAGGTCACTCCCACAGTCTATTCACAGATTTTGTGATTTACTTCACAACTGTTGCATGAAGATTATATAATTTGATTTAACCTACACAACTCTCATAGAGTTAAGGGGGATGTGTCTTTTGTGTAGGATTGGTTGGTGTTTTTGTAAGGGGTTGTTTGTTTCTTTTACAGACAACTGTGCTAGTGGAATAACAGCTCCTGTGTCTCCCAGCATCTTCAAAGGAGTCAATGTAAGTTAGCATCTCTACCCTGAAAGACTTGGTGATTCTTCATTTAGTAAAACTAAGCATTTTACTTAAAATACGTAGTGATGATGTTGTTTATGTAGACTCAGTATTCAATCTAAACATAGCTATCCAAGAGGACTTTTCTAGTTTAATGAAATATGAAAAATTATTCATATTTAAACTATAAACATCTAATTAAACAGACTAAAATACTGCCAAGCATTCAGTGAAATGGATAATTACACTTGTAAGATTAAATGGTGACATTCTAAAACAAGTTCCTTCCAAAAGATAAAATACAAATGAAAAATATTTGTTAAGAGAAAGGATAGAAAAGTGTTCACTACAAACATATTTACAGTCACAAAACAGCACTAATAATTCAGAAGTCAGACAAACCCAAATGTGAAAGTTAGGTTATTAGTAATATCTTCACAAACAACTATAAAACTCTCTATACTTTCCCAAAAGAAATAGCCTCGGCCTATGCAAGCAGATCTCTGAAAATAATAAAAACAAAGAAGTTAGCTGTGCATGGAAAGAAAATACAAAGAATGAACTGATCTTTGCCAGTGCAGTAAGGGAAGCATTCAGAGTACGCATATATGGAGAACAGAGTATTTGTATATGGAGAGCAGAGGATTACTCAAGACTTTCATAAAAACAGACCCAGTGCCAACATATTCATTATTTTTAAAGACACTGAATTACCCATTTCAGTAACAAAAGCACCTGAGTGCACGTCTACAGAAGATAAGTAAACCTGTGGGGCCAAATCTTTAAACAAATAGCTGCAAAGTCCCCAGAATAAAAGCAGTCAGCATTTACTTCACCACAAGTCATTGTTTAAGTCTGATCAGAAGGATTGATCTGAAATGTCGATCTGGTATTACAGTGGGAATTCATCCTGTTCTGTACTACTGCTGGATCCTATATGCTGTAGGATTGATCCTATGACAGAACATGGAAAACTCAAGGGAACTTGGGTTTCACTGTCTTGAACAATTTCTCCAAACTACACAAGCTTAACCAATTTATATATATAAATATATATATATACACCATTGTATAGCTAAACCACCAGAAATCAACATCATATGGTGTTTGAACTCAAATACAAGAGTCTAATGCTGAATTATGCAGCTCTGTACATGCTAATCAATTTCCTTTCAGCTCAGTTAACTATGATAAAACCAAGGTAGAAAACTTTTGCTCCCCATGTTTCTAGCTTTCTGTAAGGGACTAGAAACTTGTCTCAACATTGGTGGCAGGCAAGTTTAACTACCGAAGCCTAATCACCATGGCAAGTGAGCGAGACAGTTTAATCACCAAGGCAACCCATTGAGTTCTACCCTGTTGTCTTGGAGTACACGTCCTCTGCACATGTGCCCAGGCCCAGGGTTGACTGGCAATGGGGAGGGGGCTTGGACCTTCTAGAACTTTCAAGCATCCTCTAGTGACGATACTGGGCATGCGCCCCACTGCCGAGTGGGAGGCGTGGGTATGCAAAAAGGTTATTGACTATGCAAGAGGACAACCCTATAAAAAGGGGAAAACAGTGGCGACCACAAGGACTGTTCTGGAATATCTTTGCACCAGATTCGAAGATAGAGCAGGCACACGGGCCGCACGCGGACCCGTGGTGGTAGCTATTGCAACACTCTCATGATATTTGTTGTTGGCCAAATAAAGTGACTTGGCACTTGACTCTGTTTTGGGTTTTAATTCTGTTCCTGAGAATGTAAATGGAACCTAGTCATGACAAAACATTGGAGTTAATCAGAAGTTATGCCCAGCCACCCCCAACCTCCCAGAAGTCTGTTGGAAAGCAAGGGGGTTTAACCTCTGCCAAATTGTTCAACCCAACAGTGGATCGTGACACTTGGCTCAACTCTTCCTTCTTCCTCACAGCCATCCTATATCTTTACAAATCAATACCCATTCTTATGTCTCTCTCTCTCTAGTAGGCTAACTGTGATTGCCATGGATTTACTTCACATTCTAATCACTTTTTACTTGTTCCACACATACTCAGTAACAGGTAAAATTTAGTGACTGCTCTTCATCCTCTTCTATCCAACTGTGTAAGGCTGCTGAACTTGAAGCAAGTCCATATTAAGGCTGGCAAACTAGATGAAGACCACCTGTGTGATGAAACAGCTAGGACACAGGTATGCATTCTAAGATCTCTGAAAGTCACTTTTAGCACAAGTGCTGCACAGTGTAGATACAAGCACTTTCACATACCTCTCAGATTCCTACTCGACTGAGACAGTGACCTCATCAGAATACAGAAATTTCCTGACATGGGGTCTGAACCTGTGAAAAGCTCAGTGAAACCAACTAATCTAGTAAGAGGGCAAGAGCCTTCAATTCTCCAATGTTCTTTGAAAAAGAGAAAAAAAACCAAACAACCCTGAGCAAATTTTATATGCAGTCAGTTTATAGGCTATGGTGTAACCAGCAGCGTTAATCTCTGCCAATAGGAATACCCTTCAAGTTAATGTGCTGCTTCTTCAGTGTATCTTAAAAAAGCCTAGAAAGCACAGAACAAATCTAAAGTGCAAAATAGCTAACAGTTCAGTAAGTTAAATGGGAAAACTAAATTTATCAAGTAGTCTCTGACTTGTAAAATGTACCAACGTAGGGATCAAGAATTAAAAACTTAAGTAATAGGCTCTTGTCCCAAGGGGAGGAAAAAACCAAAATCAAAACCAACCAACAAACACCTAACTTCCAACATTTATTCTTGGTTGAACTATTTCTGGGGACTACTTTAATCAGAGAGACAAAATACAAAATTCTGTCAGTGCTAGTGAGAAGGACACAAATTACAGATTTTTTAAATGAAAGTTACTGTAGTCCAAGTTGTGTGGGCAGCTCATATATTCATGCAAAAAATATTAGATAAAACAACAGAGCTTCATGCCAGATTCTGAAACAAGTTAAAGATTCTGTCAGACCATTCTCAGAAAAATCATTCCTCCACGCTGCTTCTACTATTTCTTGAATGTGGCAAGTAATATTTGAGCTGGCCAGCTTAACTTTGGTTTGTAGTCACTGTTGCACCAGCATGAACATGTAAGTTTGAGTGCACATATGCAAGCAGTTTGCTGGACCACCAAAGAGTAGTGTTGCTAAAGCTTCCAGATCATTAAGAATTTTCTGAATTTTAATGCCAGTTTAATTTTCTAGATGCATATATTCTCACCCACATTCACACATACAGATTTTGTCAAGTGGACATTCTTATAATTTTTTTAACTAGTACATAGTAAATAGCTTTCTAAAGCCATCACTAGAGAAGTGGTGTATCAAATCATCTGACTGTTCTACTCCATACAGCTATAAGGTGCAGCTTCTAACTAGATATTTATGTAGGCAGCTTTAAGGTTCTTGCTACTCCAATAATTCAGGAATCTCAACTGAGTAAATACACCCTGCAAAAAGGCATTTTTTCAATAATTAAGTTATCTTTTACTCATATTTTATGGTCCATGGACAATTTAGTGATTACTTTCTGCTAGCTGAAATGCACCAGAAGGAAGCTAAAACAACAGGTATCACTTTCTTAGGCCTTTTCCAAATAAATGATGGCTGGAACTGCTGCAAACACACTGTATGAGCAATACGACCACGATATTGGATTACAAAACACAAGGCAAAGCACATAAACAGTAGCCATCAAAAGAAAGAAAAAAGAATATAGCATTAAATATAGCAGGTGAAAGTATAAATGAAAGGCTGAATACTTTTGCTTAGATTAAGAGGCAATGGAATTGGGAAAATGTCTCTAACCTGTTCCAGGTGAAACAGTACATTAGCTATGTCAAGGACCCTTTCCACAGTCTTCTCTGGATCTGAGGAATCTTCAGTCCTGTTTGGTAAATCTTTGTAAAGTGCCATCTGCCACCTAATGGCGGGATCCTCAAGCTGCAGGAGAAAGATTTCTCATGTCACCAAGGCAAAAAAAATGTTCCAAACATAGGGTCAAGCAGTGTAATTTGTACATAACTGCTTCAAAGAACAACAGAAGCACTTTATATGGCTAACCCACACCTTTACATGGCTAACACATACAGCGTCCACTACACTGACTGGGAGAACAAAACTAAAGACTGATTTGTGCAATGTTTCTTGAGAGCTTCCAGAGGACTAAAAGTCTAACAATCATACAAAGAGCAAATGATTGTGGGCTAACAAATAGCACTGGCACAAGCAGTGAACATATTTGAGGAATAGTAATGAATATGAGGTAGGCAGACATAACTTTGTACACTGACTTTTCAGTTCTTAAATCAAACAACAATAAAATTGTTGCTCTACTACTTGGGATTACTTAGTTTTCAGTTATGTAAATTAGTAATTAGTCTTATTTATGTCTAATTTTTTTCATTTTAGTTTTTTTCAATTGTTAGAAAATCCTAATTTGATGAATAACTAGCTAAAAAATGAAAAGTTAATTTATGAAAAATTAATTCAAGAAGCATTTGCTTATTAGCCTTCAAATTATAAAGAACTGTACGAAGCAAATGTTTTTCTTATTTTTCTCTCTACATTTAATTTTTTCCATTTCAGTGATCTGTGATTCTCTGTTTTACCATGAGCAATCTTTTTTTAGTTCGTCTCCCCAGTGCTTCTGCTAATCAACACTGATGCAACACACTTTGCAACCATTTTTTTGTGCCAATGACACTGAAGACAAATGCAATGCATAACCCATTTTACTGAGAGCTGTGGCCAGTGATGATTCCTGACTGTGCAATTTAGGTTTAAGACACACTGGCCTAGATTCCTAGAGCATTTACAAGCCTAAACCCTACAGATTCAAATACAGCTTAAACTCAACACTTACTTCTCTAAAACATCACTGTGGATCCAGATTTCAATTTGTGCCTAAGATGAGACTAATGCTAATTCACCTCCACAAAACATCTTATGATACAGTTTACTGAAGTTCCAGGAATGATTATAAACTTACACAGTTGCTCAATAATAGCTTATTACAACCTAGAAAGCCACAACTGGCAGGCATTTCTTCGACCTTTCGGCTTTTCCATTTCTTAACAACTGTCACATCCACAGTCTTTCTGTGAGCATTTGACTGGATCATCATGAATGGATAGTCCACAAAAAACTTTTTAATCACAGGTGGAGATGTCTTTTGATCTGAGAACTCCTCACATTCTATCAAGGTACAGCTTTTTTGTATAGGTAGTTTTCTAAGGGTATGAGAAGTTGACATTTCAAGGTGTGAATTAGCATGGCTGGAAGAAGATTTTGCTGACTTGAGCTTCATCCATGTCAAAATGAATGCAAGTTTCGTCATCAATTTCTTGAAATAAAAGGCTCGGTACTGAGTAACAGCATGCAGGCATGCAAGGAAAGGAAAGACAGAAACAGGGTGAAGACAAATGTAGACAAAGGTAGACAAATGCATGAAATAGACGCCACAACATTAATAGCTAAAGATTCAGAAGGATGATTCTCAAACAGTGCAGTTTTCCATCAAGATAAATTACATTTTAGTTCTAACATAAGTGACAGAACATGGTGTCTGTGCAAAGCAAAATTGGTGAACAGTAAACATGATTTGAAGAAAGAACATTGCTATGGTTGGAAGAAAACCAGCCTTTCCAAAAAGTATTTTTCCTGTTTTGAAAGCCACCTTACACAAACACCATTATAACAAAGTTACATATTAATTCATAACATTAAATACTAATTTAAATTTCTAAGACCATTTGGCCTACATTCCTTTTATCTCTGACTCAGGCAGACAGCAAAAGGGTAGTGTATGCATATAGCACAATGGCATCATTTTTCTTGACAAGTAACATCATAGTTGACTGTATCTGATGCACTTGATTCAGTCATGATAGTGACTGAATACTAATAACATCAGAGAATTACAGAATAAATTATATTGTACTTTGTGAATAACTACTGAATTTTACTTTATACTTTTAAATAACTAAGTTATACACTTAAGTGTCATGTGCAATCCAGAATGTGTCAGTGCTAAATGATTCATAAAAACTTTATTTCAAGCCACCGAGAACAAACTACTTAGCAATAGATAACAAATCGTTATAAAGATAATAAATACAATAATAAATTGAAGTTTTTAAGTCCTAGGAGTGACATATTTTGTCTGTAGTTGAGTTAACTACTTTTCACAGGTCAAAACTAGAGCTTTTCAAAGCTAGTAAAGCAATATGTAGATAGCTATAAAATAAAGCTAGCTACAACAAGCTATTTAGCTTTGTTAGCTATGTATTACGCGGTTCCCTTTCAGAATGTCATCTTTCACTGCAAATTTATTTTACAGTTATGAAAATCTAAAGTCATTGCAGAAAAGATTACAACTGAAAAACCTGTCAGTGTGTACTTTGGATTACCTAAGATTACTTCCTTCTTAATTATCAAGGCACCATAAAATTTCATCAATACAAGAAATGTAAAAGTACTTTTATTTTCATGTGTTATAAACAGAGGAGATGGTATGTTGCTGAACAATAGCAAACAAAAGGAATTTTCTGAAGAGAAGGCACAGATCAAGGTATTAAGAAGTGTCATTATTCCAAGGTAACAAAGCAGTAACAGGCAAAAATTTCATAATAGCAGTATGCAGAATGTAACCCTAAAGAAACAAAATAGAAACTGAAGTATTTAAAACAGGAGGACAAGTGCTAAGAAGCAGCATGAAATGCCAGGCAAGACTTACAACTGCACGGCTCACAAAATGACAATATAGACATACTGAAAACATCAGAACAGAAATACCTAATCTTTATAATTTAGAAATCATTCTTGAAGTTCACACACAAAATCAAAACACTTTTAAGGTTTGTATGTTCATGGCATGCACATTGCTTAAGTACTGTTGCTCATTGAGATCTCCATAAATGCTCTTATCTTCCTAGTACTTTGCCTGTGTGATTTCTTCTGCTTCTCACTATATAATAGTATTTGCTATATAAGGATAAATATTTCAAGATTTTTAGGATTTAACCAAATTGTTTGTTTTCAGTGGTAAACTTTTCTGTGTGCAATCCCTATTGGCTATTGGACTTCCATTTGTCATATTTTATGAAAAAGGCTAATTGTTAGCTTTGCAAAATGATGTATCTTCTTGTGAGCTTCCAGAAACCCCAATCTCCATATAATCTTGCTTGACATTGCAGCTATATACAGAAAACACCAGATGGGAGAAAACTGATCTTCAGGTAGTATTCAGGATGAACCATGCCATTACCGAGTCATTTTTTAAAAAACAGCATTTATTGCCTTGCACCAAATTGCAGTGGAATCTAGACTTCTGGATGATCCTTAAATAGCCTTTCAGAAAAAAAAAGTGAGATTTCCAATTCACATGTTTATTCTCTTGTAACCATTTAATAAGCACAGGAAATACTAGTTAGTTTTTCCCTTGAGGTGAATAAAACCTGGGGTGGGGGGAGAAAGTAAAGAGCAATCTTAAAGCACCATCTGATGGTCTGATTCCATCTTCCTTCAACAGAGAAGAAATGTACGTAATTTTATTACACTTCTGATTTATGGCTGCTGCTTTGCCATTTTCTGAAGCATTAATAAAACAGTTCAACTACACTGGGCCAGTGCAGGACTTTTTCCCTAGGGCTATTCATCTGGCACTAACTGGAATTCAATAACAAAAACTCTACACTTTTTCCAAAATAATTCCTCTTCCCTGTGCTGAAAAACAGGAACCAGACTGAGCAAAGTGGAGATTTTTCACTTCAGAGTATGCCAAAGTGGCAGCTTCCTTTTCCTTTAGACTTCAAACTGATACAAAGACACTGAGCATTTTGCAGATTCTATCCCAAATAATAGAAGGTAGAGTTTAAACAGCAATACACCTTGCTTCCATCTCCAGGGATTTGAAGGGCCATGTTATTGTATATAATGCATATATAAACACATTAAACCCCTAACATTTCAGAATTGACAGGAACAAGTTACTTGTCAGAAGAGAAAAAGGGACTACAAGTTATCCTAATGAACAAAGGCAGGTTGTCATCATATGGCACTAACGAATTCAAAGGAAGAAAAACCATGTTTGAAAACTATATATAGATTACCTTGCCCTGGAGATGAAGATTACTGCGGATGATATCTCGTACTTCATCTTCAGTATCTTTCTGTCAATAAATTACAAATCATATCAATTAGGAATAGAAGGTGATTAAGAAAAGATACTGTTCATATAAATGTCAAACTTGAGCTTAGTTCAGATAATGAATAAAACTGTCAATGTGGAAGACTGAGGAAAATCTCAGTGACAATAAGTCTTTTTGTATCAGGCCAGAGCTAGCCAACCCAAGCTTACAGGAACAAGTTCTGGATGGCATCATTCATATTTGTCCACTGTAACACACTAAATGCAAGCCTGACTTAAACCAAAGTTTGACCAAATGAAACCAAAATCATGAACACAGCCTTCTCTGATTTGATTTCTGTTTCTTTTGGAGATTTTTTTATCCTTTATAAACATTCAGTTCAGCTGTCCAAAGGTCATATAACTTGCTAGGGTGCATAAAGTATCATAGCTTGAGAAAGGAGTTTATTCCAAATTACAATCACATTATTGCACTGTAAGAATAACCTTTAAAACAAGCTATCACCACAGAAATTCTTGCTTTTACATGAGAGCGATCAAACGGAATTAGTTACGACATTGGGCATAGAAGTTAGGAAATATCCCGTTATTGTTTGCATTTCCAAAGTCAAGCTTCACAAAATAAAACTAAACACAATTTAGCATTGAAAATTAAGAGAGAGAAATAACTCTTAAGAATGTGCCTTTATATAAGAGAATTACAGTCCTCATTGTGTCATGCTCTAAGAATGAGCATGGGGGGAAAATATTCAAAGAATTTCATTAGTAAAATATTTCTACATTTCAGAAGCGCAAGAAAAGCACCTACCATACTGAATCGATTTTTGGCCAGTGTGATTAGCTCTTGGTCTCCAGGAGCACAAATGTTTAGGCCAATGGGAAGTAATCTCTTCAGTGCTGCCACAATGAGAGAGGTCTGCATAGAGTACCGGTCACCTTTTCGCTTCATCTTCTTTCTCTCCTGGTCAGAAACTGCTGCCTGAAGCATAAAGAAAAGATGAAAAAAATTCCAATATTAAATAAAATAATTGTACTAGCAACTTTGTACTTGTCTCTGGTTTGACAGTTTCCTTACTACCTCTACAGCTGCAACCCTATCCAATGGAACTGCCATTATATCATCGCCAAAATTTTGCATCAATATGTTGAAAGTCCACTGTGTTGATAACATTTTGATTCTCAACCCAGTGTTTTCAACAGACAAATTAGAAAAAAAAAAAAAAAATTGCTTCTCTGGAGTCCTCCTGTCTCCTTCTCCTCTGCAAAGGGAAAAATATAAAAATCTTTACACTACCTTGGACATCTTAGATTTGGTGTCACTGATAAGGAAAGACATGTTGTTGATTTCATTTTGTACCACAAAGTTCTGCTCTTCCCTTTTGAAATTCTGGAAATATATAGAAGATCTCAGTTAGAAGCACTTCTGATATGAGGAATCTATCTAAACAAACCTTAAATAAAAACATACATTAACTGGAAATTTGTAAAATCCACAAGATAAGACTAGGACAGAAAAAATCAATTGATGATTAACAATGACCTTGAATTCCAGCTTTATTTACATGACATAGTTCAGGGGTTGTGCGTTTTTGGGGTTTTTTTTTATGTTAGAAAGAAATGTTTCTCTGGCTATGAAACAGCTATGACAAAAATCTCAGTCCTCGTCTAATTCAATAAAAAAATATTGTCTGGGTTTTCCCTTACTAGGAAATCATCCATTCAGTTTTTTTCCCCACTATAAATCCCACTATATCCAGATACATAAGAAACTTTAAATAAAAAACCAAACTTGTGTATTCACAAGTAATTTGATGATCCACTATCTATCTACTGTGCAACCAGTTTCTGTGTCCCGCAATGTTTGTAATAAATCTTACAGTCAAATTCAGGCACAAGTACACAAATAATAAGGCATCCTGTTTCCCAAACCTGAGAGAATTGAAGTTACAGCAGAAATCTACTATAGACAACAGTCCATACAGAGTTCCAATGTTTGAAAGTATTTAGTCTCTTTTGCTTTATTTCTTACTTTTGTGGCAGTATTCACATGAATCATGTTTTGTTTTTATTTAAGCACTATCAGTGAGGGTGTCTGATTAGGTCTTAATGCAGATGCCTTGGTTCTTGCATATGAACCAGAGGAATCAGACTTGAGAATCAAGGGTAAATTTTATAGAAGTGGAATTAAGAAGAAATCCTTAACTGATAAAATTTATGAAATATTACATAGTATCATCTAGGAAAAAATTCATTCAGGGAATTACTTGTAAGATATCTTTGCTACTTCCTTGTTCTTAGAACACATACTGACTTTCTTTCATTCAGTCCAGCTACAGACTTAGGATTAATAACTGAATTATAAACCTTTATTAAAGAAATACAAATCTACACTGCAACACAAATTGTGACTGTAAATAGAGCTGCACATTTCCTTCAAGAAACCCTTGTTCCACCAGTTGCGCTGAGGAACTTTCCACATGATTTTTATCATAACTTTGCCAAGAGGCTCAAGCAGACAGACTGTACAACTTGGGAAAATAGACTTTAATGATACAACTACTGTTAATTTAGTAGCCATGCATCCTGGTTATAAAAAGGCTTTGGGAGTGTAAATAACTGATTGAAAAATAAAAGGGTAAGGACACGGACCTCAATGAGCTTAATATATATTAAAAAAAACCCAAACCAACCAACCACAAAAAGTATCTACAGTCAGTGTTACTAGGCTACAAAACACCCATCAACTCCCCTAACTACTCAGGCATTTAGAAGTGTCAGAAAACTGAAAGTCATTAATACCTTCCCATCTCCAGTTTCACTTCTGTCATTAAATGTGTTTTCCCAAACACTTAATAATTGATCTGCCCACTAAGAAACCTAATTAAAACAATTATTTACCAAGGAATTACTTACATGAGACTTTGACCAGTAAATGAAGACCTCAGCCACCATGCGGAACAATTCTTCTGCTTCAGGGTTGGGCTCTTTCAGCCATTTTGCCCTAAAATTTGGTAAAAGAGTGGAAATGCGGATGACCCTCACTGGTTTTATGCTTTGAAATCAGTTTTCAACATTTTACAGAGATGCAAACCAACAAAATCAAGCATGCATGCCTTTAATCCTTTCTTGTACCAGTGGCTTTTCGATGTCCTATTTCAAAACCCTTAAAATCCTTTTACATTAATCCCAGGTCTAATCCAACAGATTTGGATTGCACCTTTGTTTTTTGTTTTGTTTTCTTCTGAAAAAGACCCCAGCTCCTCCTAAAGTCATAAAGCATCAGCTTGAGCAACTTCAAGATTGGCAGGTAGAGTAAAAGCGACTTTAATTCAATGCTAGGCATATCAAGGGATAAGAGACAGTATCAATAAACAGGAAGATTTTTACGAGATTCATTGACCTGTCTTCTCCACATACCTGTTATAGTCCACAAATCTAATCAACAAAGGGTAGAAGGCATAGAGGTCCCGTGCCAAAGTGGTGAACTCATCTAGGATGAGCAGTTCAGCCTCCGACATATCACCTCTGCCTTCTGCTCTTAGATGTTCTTCATCTGATACAACCACTGCTGCTTTTTTCTTTAGCTTATTCATCAGTGGCAGGAAGTGCGTCTTCAAGAGCTGTGGCTTTGCTTTGCTGATGATGGGCTGGGAAAACACTATTTAAGGCAATGAATATTATAACATATAACTGGCCACAGAATATAAATAAAAACTTTCACCTTTCCCTTCTTACTTGGATCTTATTTCTAGACTACAGAGTAAAATCCTACCCCCACTGAAATCAGCAGAAGTTTTGCCAAGAATTAAATGTGTTCAGGATTTCACATAGTCAATTCACTTTGTCACTTTGTCACAATTTTGGCAGAAATTACAACCTCACAGACTAAGCTTGCAATATCATAAAGTTTGAAATACCTCTTTACTGGCACTCTGTCAAGATACTGGCATTTGCCTGCATAATTTTATTGAGTAATAGAGAACTTGTTTAATAGTATGTATGGGTGGATACATCTATAGCTACATAGTGCACACATCTTTCCTCAGCCACTGGCTCCTCTTTCAACCCTTGCTTCTTAGCTTGAGCGAAGTAGAACTGGAAAGCATGCTCTAGTTATTTGCAAACTTACTGAAACGGCCTGCCTGTATTTCTTATGCACATTAGGACACTGGAAGGCTTGTGAGACTGAATCAACCACATGTCAATGAGCCATTTGAAACTTGTTAGCACAATGAATATGTAAATTGGCACTTCATCTGGGACCATTAGTGCAAAACCGTTTGTAACATATCCACTAGATTACAAAGAATTTTAGGCAGTTACCACTTACCCTTAGAGTGCATTAAATTACTAACCCTCAAAAGACTAGGAATCCAGACTGCTGCCATGAATGAAATTACTACTACAATAAGTACGGAAAAGTCATAGGAAAGTCTAATTGAAAAACTTAATTCACAACACTGAAGTGACTTTTACTTACAGATTGTAACATTGAGAAATAAACTGTTTTAAAATAAATGTTAAGGTGTTACAACAATGAAGTTAACGTAAGGATTACTAAAATGACATATGCATTTCCACATTTCATTATAATAGATATGTTAGATATACAGCTTCAAAATAGTATTTTAAGGATCCAGCACTCATACAGAATAGCAACTGTGTAATGCCTGCAAATGGAAACTTGCTATATAACAACAATGGGTTAAATAACTGTAGTCCTTTAATTCAATATACTGCAAAATGCACATGTGCATGTTCTGGTGAAAAAGAAATATTTGAATGTACTTATCTTACATATTAAGAAATTAAAACATGCTTATACTACTCTTTCTTTATACTTAATACTCCTGGTTCATCAAGATCTGTATTGTTTAAAAACATAAAAATATAAGTTTTGTTCTACTCCAGCTTTAACAGGGTAAATAGCAATTAAGAGTGTGTATGTATATATACCTTCTGAATATACAAACAAATGCTTGTTTGTTTGTTTATTAATTTTTACATCTTACCTGCTAATCTCTTCATCCAGGCTCCTTCATCAATTCCAAGGTTATTATAGATGATTTTCAATATGTTACCCAACAGGGTGTTCATGTGCTCTGACGTCAAGGCTGTGCAACACATTTCAGCCTTGTCAGGGTTGTTTTCTGGCCCGTGCTCCCACCAGTGTGACATGTAACTACATAGCATAGGCAGTATCACTTCCATGATATGTGGCATTTGTGTGTAACGAATACCAGACTCTGCCAATTCCACAATTTCTTCCATTAGCTTCACCAAGGAAGGAATATTTGGGCAAACCTCATCTACACTAGCAGGCAAGTTGAGAACTATTGAAAAAAAAAATCCAAAATTCAATAAATTAAGTCATAGAGGGAAAATAATTCGTTTCAACTGTTATTCCATGCAACTTTTGTTTTCTAGGCCCTTCTCATCCAAGGAAAAAAGCTTCCGCTCCCTCCCCCTCCAATAAAAACCATCTACTTTCATACCATTGAGCAATAAACTTTATATATCAGCTTCAATAATAAAACTTTCAATAATAAAAATAATTCCTGTAATAGAAGCTTCAACAATGTAATTATTATGGAATGAATTAATAGAAATCAGGTGCAGTTTGCTATATTCAAAATGAAGCTTATATTTCAGAATTTCTTCCAACATAAGCTTTGCAGTTGAGGAAACAAGTTGATACAATGAAACATCTATCCACAACACATCAGATGAGACCTGGAATGTTAATGGAAGAAAAAACAGCATCATTGCCTGACATAATGAGTAGAACAGATTCTGAGACACTGACTTCTGGAAGTGAATTTCTGGTTGTAAATGTCCACTTTTCAAGTTATTTGAATTATCAGTTCTTTCATCTGAAAAGGCACTGCAATTGCCTTTATTTTTGGAGGCAGTTTGTTTCATCTACAAATAAATAGCTGTAAGCATAACTATTAGCTCAAGTGTCTTACATCCTGACATACACACACAATGAGATATACAGATAGATACCTATATATTGAAAATTTAGTCTGCAATTTGTGAATCCAAGTGTTTGTACCAACATAGCCTAAGGCTAGTCTTCTTCCAAAAATAGTCTGTTCTCCTCTTTAGACCCAAACACATTTTACACAGCCATTGCAGAGTCTCCTTAAAGCATAATGTAATTTTGGAAAATAAATTCAAATTTCTGTTAAAAATCAATGATAATACAGCTGATTGTCTTTCTAGATGTATTAAAATAGCTAGAGTATATATGGTAAGTAAGCGTGGCTGTTGATTTTTTTCAAGATAAGATACTACAGCTCTTTGAAGAATAAATCTGCTATGTTCCCTTTTGTAAAAATGAAGGTAAAGTTATAAAATGAATGCCATTATAAACTGGCATCGATACATATCTGTGATATAATTCACACTCAGCATATATGCAGAGTTTGCACAGTTCTACTGTAACTTCTATTTATTGGAGGAACAAGTATTTCATTAGCATAGGAAATGTAAAGAGTTTAGGAATGGAACAAAAAGGTATATTCAAAACAAACCCACATAATGTTACCGGAAAGTATCTGTACTGTTTTATATCCAAACAAAGAAGGAACAATTTACATATTCTGCAGTGTATTTACTTTCTAAGGGTATATTATGTACTTAATACAGGCAAAGGTATTTTGCCTCAATTGCACATGTGTGTTTTAGGGACCCACTATTGCATATGAAAACTGAGGAACTAAAGTTACTGATTAGAATACATAATTTTATCATCAAATATATAATATCTGAGATACTAAAAATGTGTGAAGTCCCTTCAGTAAATTGATTCCAAAGTGGTATTTTGAGAATGGCATCTCAAATTAGAACATTGGTATCTTTAGAAACGTAAAATAGTTGATTTTACCAGACTTAGCCCATTGATTTAGGAAATAAATACAATCAAGAGATTACAAGAACATTCTTGCACTATAAAATGTATGCAAAAATACATGTATTAAGGCAAGCAGAATTTATAGTGAACTTGTGTTTTCATAACCATCATGTGAGTTTCTGGAAATACCTGCTCTGTCTCTTGCATTCTTGGTATTGTAAATTGAGTAGATATTATGTTTGTTCAAATGAGTTTCCAAAAAAGCCACTGGAAAGGCACCTGAGAAAGCGGCCAGGCATTCTCCTAGTGCTGACCGTTGCCTGTGAATTAAAAAACATTGTTAAGTATACACATCTACCTCAGGGTAGTTGTATACCACCCTTATTTTTATTCTAAGATGAGCTCAAAAAGATAAGCCACTACATTATTAAGATCATCAGCACAAGAACAGGTAACAGAAACATGACACCCAGCAACCCTCTACTAATACATGAATGAAATGTTAAGACATAAAACGTCAAAGGTGTCCTACTTAGCTGAGAACAAATGAGGAACACGCAGGGAAAACCCAGAGTCATCATAACAATGCCTGCTATTCTATTACTTTCCTCTCGGCTTTACCAAATTTATAATCTCCACCATTAAGAAAAAGCTACTGAATAGACCAAGGGACCAAATACAAGTATCGATTTAATTGAGTGATATACTTTCCTTTTTCTGCGAAAAAGTAATAGAATCATAGAATCATAAAATCATTTAGGTTGGAAAAGACCTTATCAAGTCCAACCCTTAACACTGCCATCCCACCACTAAATCATGTCCCTAAGCACCTCGTCTACCCCTCTTTTAAATACCTCCAGGGATGGGGACTCGACCACCTCCCTGGGCAGCCCATTCCAGTGCCTGACAACCCCTTCTGTGAAGAAATTTTTGCTAATGTCTAACCTAAACCTGCCCTGGCATGACTTCAAACCATTCCCCCTCGTCCTATCGTCCATTGCCATGTTGAATAAGACAATAAGGCCTCCCCTCAGCCTCCTCTTCTCCAGACTAAACAACCCCAGTTCCCTCAGCCGCTCCTCACAAGACTTGTGCTCCAGACCTCTCACCAGCTTTGTTGCTCTCCTCTGGACATGTTCCAGCAACGCAACGTCTTTCTTGTAGTGAGGGGCCCAAAACTGAACACAGTACTTGAGGTGTGGCCTCACCAGTGCCAAGTACAGGGGCACGATCACTTCCCTACTTCTGCTCGCCACACTATTCCTGATACAAGCCAGGATGCCATTGGCCTTCTTGGCCACCTGGGCACACTGCTGGCTCATATTCAGCCAGCTGTCAGCAAGTATCCCCAGGTCTTTTTCCGCCAGGCAGCTTTCCAGCCACTCTTCCCCAAGCCTGTAGCGCTGCATGGGGTTGTTGTGACCAAAGTGCAGGACCCGGCACTTGGCCTTGTTGAACCTCATACAGTTGGCCTGGGCCCATCAATCCAGCCTGTCCAGGTCCCTCTGCAGAGCCCTCCTCCCCTCGACCAGATCGACACTCCTACCCAGTTTGGTGTCCTCTGCAAACTTACCGAGGGCACGCTCAATCCCCTCGTCCAGGTCGTTGATAAAGAACTGAGCCCCTGGGGGACACCGCTTGTGACCGGCCGCCAACTGGATTTAACTCCGTTGACCACAACTCTCTGGGCTCGGCCATCCAGCCAGTTTTTTACCCAGCGACCTTGGTTTTGCACGAAAGTCAAGTTCTTCAGAGAGTGGAAAATTGCTTATACTGATTAATATCTCTGCAAGTTTTGCAGAAAACATTGCTCTAATCTTCTCAAATACATGACAATATCTGATAATCAAAATTCCTTTAGTGTGTCAAAATTGTAAAAAGCCTGTCTCTCGGAAGTAAGTGATACCCTGTCACTTCACTTGAGTCATTTAAATTAAGAGAATTAAGGGAATTAAAAGGGAATTTAAAACTATTCTTTTTGATTCCCAATTCAGTTACCAGAGCAGATTTTAGGTATGTGAGAAATCCTTAGCTGCTGAAGCTGGGCCACACAGACGACAGAAGTCCAGAAGCCCCATTAAATTCCAAGGAAAAAAAATAATAAAAAGCCTCCAAATTGATCCTGTGATTTAACAAGACTCATGTTCAAGTCTATAGTCTATCTCATTTTAGGAACTTACATTCTTTCTATATCTAACTCGTTAAACTTGATTTTTTTAAATCTAACTTCATTCCTATTATTATTTATCCTGTTTGCTCCTTCTTCCTTTTCTTCCTTTTCATTAGGTTTTCATAAGCAAAACATATATCCATCGCATACACCTACAAAGAGCATGCTACATGCTTTTCATTTGTGATAATGGGTGTAGACAACCATACACAAAAATTATCACTTACACTGACGCATTTTGTCTTAACTACAATCCCCACACAATTTATTTGCCAAATACCCAAACCAATTCATTTTTATATCTCTTACGAAATTAATGAGACCTGGTTTTCCACAGATGTGTACTTACAAACATTGGTCCCCACCTTTCTTCATAATGTTTCCTACAATACTGCCACCAGGTAAGCAAGGGTATGTCATGGGGCTGGTCTGGAGTTATGCACAGGTTGATTTGCTAGACAGTGTACAGATATATGAACTTCCTAGATTACTGCTGCCAATATCTGAAATGTATGGGCTCTGTTCCTTGAGAACAGTGCTACTCACTACAGGGCAACTCTTCAGTTTTAAGAACTGAATTGTCTAGGTACCTCTAATTTTTGGCTGAATGTGGTTTACACAGACCAAATGTAACTTGGAGGGAGTTTAGCAGATACACAGATGCACAAAAAAGCAATTATAAAGCCTCATTTCCCTGGGTAATTGAGCAAGAAAAGAAGTAGAGTTGTATGAGTGAAAAACTAATGTAATGAGAAAGAAATATACATCACAATTAAACAATATATAAGGAAGAATTATAATAATAGCTGGGCTGAATGATATCTTTTTACAATTCCCCAGTCGAACCTCAAATCAAATGATATTTACTGTAAAATCAGATAATTTTATTTGTAATTTTAAATGCAGCTGCATTCCACTTAACATCTGAGCATCTTTTTTCTCTCAAGATATCTTTCCAACAACAATCTCTTTGTATGTTCATTTCTGGACTGCATATTCATGAAACTAAATATAAACACAAATATTAAAAATAGAGGAACACTTTTTCTTCTTACCGCTCTACATAGATACTCTTGCTGGTTCCCAGAGCATATAAACTGGCTAATATTCTATAACAGGAGACCTGAACATCTTCCACTAAAGAGAAGAAGAAAATGATAGATATAAAGAGATTTTTCTTTGTATTATTTCTGCAGAATTAAAATACATATCTTCTGACAATAATTGAAGTCATAATATTAAGCTATCAAAAGCAAGCCACAGAAATCACTCTCTAAATACAAAAAGTCTTCTGAACACTGAGTTCCAGTTTTTACTCAAAACTTCCATTTACATCAATACCAAGTTACCAGCTAAGACAGTAAATATATTTCACTAGTGCATTAACTTTCTGAAATTAATGGCATACCAACTCTTTGAAGATAACATCTAATTGCATAATCTCAGAATTTATTAATTTAATAGCAAAAAAAATGTATTCAGTTAAGCTTTTCTAGTTGGTCTGTAGCACTTAAGAAAGTAGCATGGCAAATCAAATAAAATGCTGAAAGTAAAAAAAATTACTAGGGAACATGTAGATTTACAAATGTAACCACTCTATAAAATACATTACAAAAGAAAGGCAGTCCTATTAAACAGATATTTAATGCCTTTAATCACAGTTTGTATTTTTTAAAATTTAGACACAGATACCAGTTAATAGCATATATTTAATTTACACTTCAGATTGACAAAGGATTAAAAAAAAAATCCTTTAGTCCTTATGAATACTTCACCAAAGTGTGTTTTGAAATTATCAAAAGTTTCAGTCACAAAAATATGAGAGCAATCTTAACTATTTGAAAAAAATGCTTTTCCAGCATAATCTGCAGTAATAGTGTAACAACAGTGTTAAGTACCATCAAGAAGAAGAAGGCTTCCATTCTTTCCATATATATTTTTTCTAGTCTCTCCCACAGTGCTAATACCTTCTCTCAATATGCAATGAAATATTGTGAGTAAAATAGAACTGAGACTTAATGGGCTGGGGGAGTCTACAAGATGCAAAAAAGCTACATAGCCTGGCTCTTTACTGTACCATGACTTTATTTCAGATCATCTTGGAGTTGCATATTTTTACATAATACAAGTAACCTCAGGTACACTGATCCACCTTTGTACATGATCACACCCTGGAGTACTCTGTACGTATAGTAATACTCTTAAGTACCAGCACCAAGTCAAGATGCTTTTCATCAGAGTAGTATAAATAAGATAATCTTATTCTTAACAAGATGTAAAGAGAAGTTGTGTGTAAGAAAAATCAGCTTTTCTAACTATGCTCTAGACAAAACAAGCAGGCACAATTTAAATTAATTATTTTCAAAAACATTTCTCTTAATGCTATTTGAAATAATACTTTTCCAGATTCTAAAAAGAGAAAAAAGTATAATTTGGTATTTTTTTCTTCCAGGCCTTTCTCTCACTTATTTTCATAACTGACTGGCAGAATTGCTTCCTTTAGTGCAGTCTGAATAGCAGAATTCCTGTGCAGTTCCTAAAATACATAAAATTGAAGTTTTGTGTTGCAGACTGCAAAATTTTGTCTTGCAGAGACTGGGTTTGGGAAAATAAAGGACACTGAATCTGCCATAATCAGAATCTCTACAGAAATCTCATATACAGAGTCCATACATATTCCCTTCCCCAGTGCCTGAATTATTCAGGAGCTCCTTCCACTTTTCCTTAGGATCTAAGATGCACCCACCTGAATTCCCTGCTAACTGAAACTGAGTCAAGGTGCATGAAAGACAGAATAACATCATTCACAGTATATCCTCATTTATAAACAGAGCAAAGACAAATTAACTCACCCAATGTAACTTTTCAAATAAGAAAGTCACAGTAAATATGTGGTTATAAAAATAGTTATAAACAAAGTCAAGCCTTCTGACTATCTAATCACAGCCACTTCTGCTTTAATATTTACACAAAGCGCATTAAAACCTGCAGGCTATTCTAGGTCAATTACAGCAAATGTTTGATTAAATCAATGACATTTTGTCAAAATGGCATAGGATTTGTCCTTCTCTAATAGAAGTGAGAGTCTAGTAATGCTTACTACAGGACACTACAGACATTTTAGTGGCACGGCACTTCTAAATAATACATACATATCAAATCTTCCCCAAACTGGTGCTGTCCAATATGCTCAAATAATGAAGATAGCACTGGCAGGAGAGCAACTGTGGTGTAATTAATAATTTGTGTAACTCCTTTCGGCTGGTTTCTGCTGTGTGTAAACTGGCCTTGCTTAAGATTTTCCATTGTTTTCTCCAGATCCTCAGCAGCGTTGTCCAAAAATGCTCTCAATGCCATCTTAACAGATTCCAGACCAGTTTTCATCACAGTCCTGTATATAGCATGCAAAAAGTATGAAAAAGAATATTCTACTAGAAAAGCATGGAATAAAGGCTAGTCTTAGCTTATATGAAATAGATAATAAATCTCTGAAGAAAAATCTTTCATCTTTTGATATGAAGTCTTCTCATAGGAGAACAACCTACTGAAAAAAACATTTCATAGGTATCCTGCAGAACACAACAATATTTTATATGGTTTCCCATTGAGAAAATAAAGTAATTTTAAATTTATAAATTATTTGTTTGCCTTCAAAGGGAAAAAACCCACCTAACAAAAAAAGGAGAATAAGTAAATTTGCAATTTACGACTCTAGGAAGAGAACAACTATCTCGAGCTAGAATTCAGAAAGTCTTCCCGGTCATGACAGTCATATTTCTGCCTCCAGAATAAGGGCATCAGAAAGGAATCAGTAAAAACAACCAAATCTGTTTACAAATAAATAAATAAAGGCATCAATTACATAACTGTACCACCATAATCAGCTATGTAATGATATAATCCAAGAGATTTATTATCCTATTTGTTTTAACTAGCTTAATTACAGAGATCCTTTGTTTAAGGAACATACCCATTTAGGCATGCATGAAATAAATCCAAGTGAAATTCTTTTGTAAACAGAATCACAGTCCATTTTTTTTGCTGTTTGTTTCTTTGTTTGTTTGACAGAGTGAATATATACAGTTTCAATGGCAATATTTTCAAACTTCCATGTAACCACCATGAATCCCTTAATCGCCATCTGGAGCTATTTTTACATCTCTACCAAGAGCTGAATTGCTGATCTGTATCTGTATCTGATCTGTATGATTGCATAAAGCATGGACAATTTATGAAAAAAAACCCCAGGATATTGCAACCTAAAGGATTACCATGCAATAGCTGAGTCATATTAATTGGCCATGATCATGACTTTGCCCCACAGCAAACAGACAGTAAAATTTGTTGATTTAAGCAACTGCAAAGATACTGAGAAAAAGAGCTATCTGCACATAATCCAGTCAATTCTTTGAGAGTAAATGCAAAGCGAAAAAAGTTATCTTAAATTACCATGGAGGTAGTTTGAACTATCATGTTTTGTTTCACAACTGCAAAGATCTAGAAGTCAGCTATCAGCACAGATAGTTGACTGTACTGTTAATGAAAAGCAACACATTATCCTCCAATATTTCAAGACTGTCTTATCCATAAACCTCATAATGGCTCAAGGAGCATAATTTAACTTAAAAGTAGTGCTGAATTCAATGTAAGGGGTCTTTTGTTGTTCAAATTCGAACCTGAATTAACTTTGCAAAGAATACACTCTATGAGACTGATTTAACTCCTGAATTTTTTGATTAAACAGTGTAAGCAAAAGAATAAAATATTTCTAATGTTATTGTGGTTTTGGGACAGTCACATGATTAAAATCAGATGAACTAACAGTCAGGAGTTACTGAACACCATTGATCTGGAGTTGAAAGTGTAACCTACAGACATTGTCCTGCCAACCCCTAGTAATTAACTAGTAATTAACCTACTTTGCAATGGGAATTCTTTTCAGTACTATAACTTCTTGAGTTTTGAAATTCTGTAGCCTTACACAGGTAGCCCAAATCTGACTGCACATTATTTTCATCAGTGATTTTCTTCGCACCATTCAGCATTACCTGGCATCCAAGGTCTGGCCCAGTATGTGAAGACAGTTGACTATTGATGTTGCATCATTTCCTAAAAAGGGAGGAAAATTATCCGCCAATTAAGCTTAGCATACTGTATAGCGTACCTACACTCTGCTAACTGTATCTTTGGTTTTAATGAAAGAGTAAATGACACAGCAGAAGAGCAACTGAACTTCTGCATAATTTTAACATTCAAGTTTAAAAAGCATGCAGTTTGTTGTCTTAGCCTTGTTTACACAAATGCAGTAACTAGAGGCAGTAAAGCATCTCTCACCAAATAGCTGAGGCAGTCAAGATGGAAGCACTTAAATGTGGGGTTAATGAGAGCTGCAGTGTACTGTCTGGTTTTCATTTAAGTTCTGTAAATTTTGCTTTAATTAATTCAAGTTTATCAGAACATTTATCTTGCCCCTCTCAGTACCACAAAAGCTGTTAACTTTCACAAGCTGCTATTGCAGGAAGAGAATATTTATATAAAATGTCATTGAAAAGGTTATCTCCTTGGTGTACCAATAGGCTGCAGCCATTTATAGCAGGATCTGGTGTGGCCCACATGAGTAACAGTCTCTGACATAATATGCATCTCCCATAACCAATTTTTTTTTCAGACTTATGTATGTAAAAAGAGAATTTACACACAACATGCCTTGTATGCATATGTACATCCCAAGATGTTGCCATGTACAAACCCCCTCTAAGTTCACATTTTAAATCCAGGACAGATTTAGGCTACAAAATTTGACCCACAGCTTATTTAATATATTTATTTTTTTAAAAAAGAACTAAATCTCTGCAAAAATGAAAATACCTTTTCTTGCTTCTCCATGTATTTAAAGTTTCTCAATTAAAAATAAAAGAAACAAATTGAATGTTTAAGGTAAGAGAGAATTCTGAAAATACTGTCATTTGCATACAGCATACTATACTTTCTCACTGGTGGTTATTTCACCTGAAAATATAGGCAACCATACAACTAAAATTACTAACTGTTTCAGTGAAACAGAGATTTTAAAAGATAAATTGCAAGGAAGGAGAGGGAGGTTTATTGCAGCACTGAGAGTGTTGTTCTGTGCTATCGAATTAGGAGGTATTATTGTGGTGTTCATCCACAGTAAGTTAAAGAAACCTGAACCACAGGTTCCGTGGCTGCCCCTAGCCAGGCAGCCCCTCTTTGCACTGGCACTGGTGGTCATGCATATATATATATGCATATATATATATGCATATATATATATATATATATGTATATATATATATATAAAACGAGCTCGATATAATGAGCAGATCAGAAAGCTGAGGTGGCCTAAAAAAAATCCTACCAAAAAAACCACCCCAAAAGATTAAGTTTTTTGTCAGCTCCCATTTTTTTTCCTTACTATTTTACTGCTCTGGTGATATAAATGCCAGTGCTGATGAAGAGGAGAGTTGCAGGACTGTGCTTATGACAGCTGGGATGGAGGGAAGTACTCAAAGCAACCCAGACTTAGATGGTGGATTAGACTGTCATGAACCAGTATCTTAACATTCATTGTGCACGTCTATATACACTGCATGCTACAGTGCAGTATAGAGATGCTCACTCCTGTTCCCAGAAAATTTACATCAGTAATCTATTTATACCATGTAGACACATTTCATGAGCCATATACTTATCAGGAATCAGGTACTTCATATGCTGCAACCAGATAGAAGGGTCAGGGTTATTATGTAAACCAGACAATTTTTAGGCATATCCCTGTAGCAGATAGTGCAGTGTGGTTGGTTCCGCAGACTGGGATATCAGAGCAGAATTCAGTGACCATGATAAATGCAGCCCCCTTCAATCTAAACTGATGAACATACTAGAGTTTGGCCAGTTTTATCCATGTAACACCAAAACCAGGCTTTCAAAATTATGAAACTTTTTTTTTGGAATACATCTTTCAGGCAGGATTTGCTACAGAAACTTAGAAAATGCAATTTTCTATGAAAGACAGGTTTAGGTTCAGCCGAAATTCTGTGTCTTGTTTTTGTTCAATGTAATGAATTTAGTTGTTTCTAAAACACAAACCCACAAAAAAGAGTATTTTTTAATTTTACATTAAAATGCCACAGTTAAAACTAAAACAAAAAAAAAAAAAAAATTGAACACTTCAAGAATCAGTTTGCTTCCAAACTGAGGTCAGAAGTCAATTTCAGAAGGCCATCTTTTTTTAAAACTGAATTACAAAAGCTAAAATGAGGGGTTTTCTAATGAAACTAGTTGTTTTTTTTTTACTATTGTCAATATTTCACAGTGTATATATGTACCTTCATTAAAATAAATATATTCTTTTTTTATTAATTTAAAATGTTCTTCATTTTCAGAAGCCTATGAACTGCAAAACTGAGTTTCTTTAGTAATCTGAAGGTGCAGTCCTATATATTTTAAAAAGCTGTATTATTATATCAGGAGGGAAGAACTGTTGCTGTATTGTGAAAGTGTTATGGATATTGATTCCAGGATGCCTCACTGGAAGGACACTTATAAATTCAGCATGTCGTTACGCAGAAAAAGCCTTCTGTTTCTTTTAAGGAACTCCTCTGATTAATTTCTCCAAATTCCCAAAAATGAGTAAGCAAAACCAGGCATTTCTTATCTGATGTCTTTACCCAGCTAATTTTTGTTTCAGATTACATGGGTCTGTATTAGTGATATGAAAATTATTTTTTTTTAAACTTACTTACTTATATAGAAAAAATTCCTTAATGGAGATTTAAACAATATAAAAAGTGAATCAAACTAGTCATATAAATTTGGGTTTTTAAATTGAGAAAATATAAATTCAAATTCTCAATTCACCAAAATTATTCACTAAAAACTTTCAAATTCAGCCCACTAATAATAATGGAAGTAAATCAATACAGTTTTACGGATGCACAGCTACAGCTTTTAAACAGTAAATTACTGGGGTCAAAATCTACTTTCACAGTGTAGAGAAATAATAATTCCATGCTGAATTACAATTCCATAATCTCAGTGACACTCTTAGATATCAAATGTGATTAACTGTTTAAATTCACTCTGGAAGACTTGCATGCTTAATCATTTTATCAGGACTTGTATACACAGCTTAAGCTACATAGCTTTTATTAATGACTTTCATACATGCAGCTGTATCTTCAAAAGTACCATTCAAATTCACAATAATATAAAACACCTATATGGCAAAAGTATATAGCATTTTGCTATTTGTTATAGGAAATGCCCCACTATCCACAAAGGTATAACTCTTGCTTATTCAAGATGCACCTCCAAAGCACACAAATAACTTTCCAGGCCTCAGCTGTGCTCAGAGACTGTCCTCACAAGCATTTTCCCCTCTTCTACACAAGCCTTGTCTTTCCTGGAGTAAGTGCAATTCTTCTGATCAGGTTTTCTAACATGATGTAATCCACTGTCAAGGTAAGGCAAACTGTAAGGTGACTTTGACTCGAGTTCATATGTCTACAGTAAATGACCATGCTCCAGAGTCTTAAGGTGACCTTGTAATAACGATTTGCAAGATTTTAATAGTATGCCTGAGCTAGTTTATTCTTTGAAGAAGCAAGCTAGGGTATAAACCAGAGCTTATGTGTACGTTTGTGACATACTCTGCCCTTCAGAAGAAGCTGCAACAATGCCACACAGCTGCAGAAATAACTCCATTCCTCCTATGATCTTTTGGCTTTACAGGCAAATCCACTCAGCTCATCCCAAAACATATTTAAAAGTGATATCCCAAAATAACTTCCAAACTTTCTTCTTAGTTTAACAGTTTTCATAATGGTCTGTAAGCTTTTTAAACACCATACTGCTGCCGCAAGTGAGTTCCTTCCCTTCAAACTGAATGAAATATGTAGGAATTGAGTTAGATGCATGTTATCTTAATCTAATTCACTAGATAATTACCCAACTAGGTATGTTGTTCATGGATGCTGAAGTTTGCAATGCATCCCTCACAGAAGCTATATATGCATAGGATGTACTATTTCAACTATCTTATCATCATGGCATAAGAAAAAACTGCAGAGTAAGTGACTGTGCCACATATTGCATATAACATATACACTTGATATATAATGTATACACTTGATACAGACTTCAAATTACTTCAATTAAGTGATTTTCACATGGCATAAGACAAACACCGAGCTCCTGCTAGGTTCACATAATACCAGAAAGATAGTACACATGCGTATGTGGAGTTAAGCACATCCAAGAATATTTAAGAATTCTACAGAACATAACTAAGCATTTCAGCCCACTACAAATTTTCTTTAGTGACTTTCCAATGCAAATGTGCAGTTCTGATGCTCTGGTTTTTCTCAAATTATTCAGAATAAAATGACAAATTAGTAATAATAATTAACTCAGCAAAATTCTTTGGTAGGATAATAAAATCCAGGTATTAGTTAAGACACATGGAAAACTAAACAAAACCACCAAACTGATATCTACAAAAGCTTTTTATTCCATCTAATAAATTCTGTGATCTATCAGCCTAAACAGTTAGTGGTCTGTGAAGACCATGCATTTCAGCCATGCAGCCATGCAGCGTGCAACAAAGCACTACATAACACAATGCAAAAATGGCAAAGAAAACCAAGTGATGGCCATGCTAGTATTTGTCAAGGGTGTCCTTACCAAACAGTGAAATCCTATGCCTGACAAGAACTCCAAGTTTGCAGAACAGGCTGAAGACATAAGAAAAATAAAAGAGAAGAGAAGGGAAAAGGAAAAAAAAAATAAGAGGGGGGCAGAAGAAAGAAAAAATAACAGCTGATATATGAGCAGGAAAAGCAACATGATGTCACGCAGAAAGAATCGATTATCTGAGCAGAATGTGGGACAGAGTACTAAAGAAAGAGTTTTTAAGTGCATATCCTTAACAAACATGGTTAAATAAGCACATATTATAATTAAAGAAACAAAAAAAATTAAAAGCAAAGCTAATTCATATAAAAGCGTCCTATATGATAACCCACAAGGAAATAACCATCAACCCTTTAAGAAGTAAAATGTGGTCAGTGTACTATTCAGAATACCACTTACAATTTGAAAACAAAAGGTAAGGAAATCAGATTAATTGAAGTGTTTGATGGCTAAAGTTTAACTAATTCAATTTGGATCTTGTCATCTTGAACACAGTGAGAATTTATTTTCAAATACATGGCTTTTTAAATACACTTAACATGAGAAATAGCCTCTTACATCGTTAAAACCCAACAAAACCAGATATGATCAATGATTTCATGTTTGAATTACTTCCTGTGCTGATGAGCAGTGCCCTGTTCAGAAAAATGAGGAATGAAGTTTTGTGTTAATTCACAGAAGCAGATCACACTGCCCTACCCAAATTGACCTGGCTTCCAGATTTAGGAAGGGTTAGCTCAATCTTCATGATCCAGTTCAGTCTGAGAATTTTCTCTGAGACCAACATCGGTTGTGGTGTTATTTTTTATGCTGCAAACCCCCTCATCTGCTATAAATGACATGAACAATATGTCATTTCATTAAGCTATTTAATTATTAGGCACACAGGCTAGTAATCAACCTCTGATTTAAAAGCAAAAGACACCATAAGCATGTCTGCACAGTTTATGGATGAGATCTGAACATGTTATTATTGACAGATAAGAGCGTGGTGCCAAATGGAAACATTTATGTCCAGAATCAGAACAGCCAGAACAGCTAATTAGCCAGTGCAGTGATCCACTATAGCAACAGCAACTGCTCTGTTTTAGAAATGAGTCTGGTTGGTCCGTATTCAGGGATGTTTGTTCACTGTATATTCCATGAGGCAGACACATACTATATATTCTTTTATGAGGATACTTGTTCACCCAGTCCAACAGGAAAAGCTGTACAGAAGCATGTTAGCATCATATAAATCTTGTGTCCATTCTAACAAAGACATTAAATAGCTCACAATTTATCTTATTTTCTAACATACAAATGTTACTTAACTGACTGTAGCATTCAGTGGATGCTATGTTTTCAGAAAGTCAGACTGGACCTATTATTTACAGTGTAATTAGTTTAGGTTAAATAAATAAATTACAATGTTCCAAATGGCCAGTACTTAGATTGATGTCCAGAACTAATTTTGTACAATTGCAGTAGTACAAGGACTTGTAAGATGATCTAATGGATGAGAAATGCAAAAAGCCCAATCCCAAAGAGGCTGGTTACAGGATGGTGGGATATAATGCCACCATATATCAGGAAGAGGTCTGACCCATATTTGCCTGCAAAATAGATCTGGATTTAATGTATTTGCTGAACATGGAACGGTTATTGCACTTGGTAACCCTGTCACTGCATTATCAATACCCTAAAATATACTCTTCCATAGCTTGATGAATGCAAGCTTATCTTCATTGGAAAAAGAAAGCAGCCAGGAACTGCCCTTAGCTTGAAGAAAACCCTATGTATGAGTTGCACTCAAACAAATCTAAAGGGAAAACTCAACAGAAAATCCAAAATTCAGCTTTGGCAAATTCCCTACAATACACAAAAAAATGTTGCAAATCTATTAAAATGGTCCTAAACAACCCATCGGGAAACGGATCATATAATGTGGGCTCTATAATCTTTGTGTCTTAATAATTAAGAAATAAACTGTTTGATAGCACTGGCTATAGCTATCATTCCTCCAAGGTCTCCTTGCATGTGTTTTCTTCTCTTTGGCTGACACTTCTGGATGGCAGGTAACTCAATTAAGTATGGCAGTAGCTCTCATCCTTTTGCTGGGCTACATGTTCAGGAATCTCAGACAGCTAGACAGCACATGTACAGAAGTCCTGAGTCTATGCAGCATGTATGCTGACATATCCATGTTTGATATATTCCAGAAGTATGGGGCTTATTGGCATGACTTAACAACTGTGAAAATATTGTTACCCAAGAAATTACAGACAGAAAAAGAGCAGCTCAGAGAGTGGAAAAGTACCTAGATGCATGCATTTTGATAGAGCTTTTTTAATTCTTTGAAAAATGCCATTCAACCAAGCTGCCAGATCAAATTAGTCCATGAGATGACACAGGGTCAAGACAGCCATTATTTACTTAAGCTTAGTATTGTTGCTAGAAACTGCACTCAGTATTCACACAATCTTTCAAACCTCGCATATCTGTATGACCATCAACTATTTGTCAGCCTCAAAGGACAGCAATTCAGTTTTGCATGGTTCAGTACCAAATAACAGCCAAGAAGGCAACCATGATACCTGGACATTGCAGGCATGTAGTAGGTCCTGTGTGAAGGTTGTGGTCCACCTTACTAAATGGGAAATATGGGTTTCCATTCAATCAGAAGTGAAATTAAGTGAAAACACATCTTAGAGAGATGGTCTAAAAATGGGTAACTTCAGCGAGAGGATGAAATGAATATTTCTGTCATATTACTACTGTTATGACTGTTTAGAATACCAAAGAGCAGGAAGAATGCAACTCTCTCAATTTTACTTCTTATGGTGGACAGTAATAGTGATACTTACTGAATCACAGTTATAAATAAGTTTGGCTTTCAAATCTACCACAAAATTTTTCAGGAATTATTTCAGTATATACTGATATTATTTCAGTGAAAACTGATACACAACTGTATAGCCTGTGCCACAGACTGTGCAGCTGATGTATTATTGCAAATAATGGTAAATTTAAGTTCCCTGCATGTTAAATCATCACCACTACCTTTAAAACCGCATATAATCATAACTCTGTACTCCTCTCTTCATTTTATACAGTGAATTCTCCTAACAGGAAAAGAAAGTGAAAAAAGTTTAATTTGCATGTTCATAAAAATATTTCTCTGCCTTCCAGTTCTCACTTCCCCACAATCAACTGCTGCTGTTTAAAGACAAGCACACATATGCATACCCATTAATATTATTTTAAGTTTTACCTTGTCACCATTTCTTTCTCTTTATTAGAGGCATGACCTCCACTGCTGAGAGGCCTACTTGCTGCAGATAAGAAATACAGGCGATGATTTTTAAAATACTGATCAATCAAAGGGAGCACAACCTGAAATTACATCAGAAAGAAGTGGTTATCTCAGGACTTTCTTTACTATGTTCTGTAAGTCACAACTGAAGTCAGGAGATTTCAAATGTGTTTTCTGTTTTAAAATCTCTATGTATTTTTTCTTTAATGTCTATTCCTCTTTGAATTTATTTAGTATTCAAGGCACTTAACATGTCATCAGGGAAGGCAACAGAAAAAAATTTACATTATCTCTGGGACTTATCTGCATGTTTTTTAGAAGTACAAAGCAGAAAGTATAATCTCATTTAATCTCACAATATAAATTTTTCCAGTACCAAATACTCAGGCACAACTATTGCTGTTCTAATGTAGGTTTAAGAAAAATTCACCTACAACTATAAGCACACTAGCAGCACTTAATTCTTGGTGCTATCAAATAAAACTCCCAAAACAACCTCACTCAATAAGGTCTTGTCCACAGAAGTTTTCATGTTTACTTTATGTGGTGATGATTATTCAGTGCCCACTGCACGTGTCAGCCAGGAGGAGATTCAAAATAAACAGTAAGAAAATCTGAAATTGCTTCCTTTGGAGCATGGTTCAAAAAAAAGGTGGAATGCTAGCTTCTGAGTCAACAAACCTGGCAAATACCAGGTACTTCCAGTACCACATAGAAGTACTTTAAGGTACTGAGATTACAATTTACTGCAAGGATATCAGGGTTAGAAAATGCTGCAAACTTTGCTTATTCACTAATGAATTCAAAAGGCACTTTGAATATGCAAACACCAGACAAGCTTCTACATGCAAAAGGCATAAACAGATTTTCTTAATTTATGTGTAAAACCCTCTTGGCACAAAAAGGATAACTGGGCTGACAGGAACCTCATGACTTTCAGCAAGGGGAAATGCAAAGTCCTGCACCTGAGGAGGAATAACCCCAGGTACACACTGAGGGCTGGCCAGCTGGAAAGTGGCCTTGCAGAGAAGGACCAGGGGGTCTCAGTGGACAGCAAACTGACTGTGAGCCAATAATGCACCCTCACTGCAAAGATGGCCAAGAGCATCCTGGGTTGCATAATACAGAGTGTTGTCAGCAGGTCCAGGGAGGTGATTCTTCCTCTCTATTCAGCACTGGTGAGGCCACCTGAAGTGCTGTGTCTGGTTCTGGGCTCCCCAGTACATGGACATACTGGAGAGAGAGTCCAGTGAAGGGCCACAAAGATGATGAAGGAACTAGAGGATCTTTCAAATGAGGAGAGATTGAGGGAGCTGGGACTCTTTAGCCTGGAGAAGAGAAGGCTCAGGGAGGATCTCATCAATGTGTATAAATATCTGAAGGGAGGGTGTAAAGAAGATGGAGCCAGGATCTTTTCAGTTGTGCCACATGACAGGATGAGAGGTAATGGGAACAAACTGAAACACAGTAGGTTCCCTCTGACCGTCAGGAAACACTTTTTTTTACTGTGAGGGTGGTTAAGCACTGGCACAGGTTGCCCAGAGAGATTGCGGAATCTCCACCCTTGGATATATTAAAAAGATGACCTCCAGAGGGCCCTTCCAACCTCAGCCATTCTGTGATTCTGTGATGGAGACACAGCATGGTTTTAAAACAAGGAAAGAAGTAAGGAAGGTGACACTGACAGATACATAGCTGTGTTAATTACAGTAACTATTGCTCACATTTGTCTGCTTGAACAATGTAAAAGAGAAAAATCTTCAGAATTAAACTAACCCAGTATGAGGAGCTGCCTATCATGGAGCAAGGAAAGAATGAGAATAAGAATATAGTGCTGTAATTTTTTTTTTACATCTATGCTTCATCCTACAGTATTTTCAAGCTACTTTTATTACTACTGTTTTTAAATAATAAAATTCAATTATTTAACACAGAAAAGTGCAACAATAACAACGATAATCATGTTCACTAACAAATATTTTCTCACTTCAACTATGTTGACAAAGAATAAGCAAAGATATACTGTACTTTGGCAAAAAACTTGATTTCTTGTTCATATGGGAAGTGCTCTCCTTTGCCTCTGCTGCCACCATCTGCAGAGAGAAGAAAATTAAGGTCCCTGTCATATATCCTAATTACAGTCTACTCTGCATTTTTCTTAGAAAGTGTACACTATAAACAAATAATACTGGTCATCTTTAGATGTAGATTTAAGATACCATAAACAGTATACACACTAGTTAGAGTGGCATTTTATGACTACCTCATGAGAATAATAATTAGAGCAAATAAAATGTGAAAGAATATTCATCCAAATCTTCATAAAAGTATAGACATCTCAGAGTCCAAAGAGATATGGATATTTTTGTGAGATGAAAATCTAGTCCTATGTTTGTATTATTCTAGTTATTGGTGACAATTTGGAAGCCTGAAACCTGATTCTAATGGATCACCTTTCTCCGGTTGTTCCCAGGAAAAACAGAATTACCAAATTTTTACTATTTATTTGTGGACTTTGTCTAAAGAACAAAATTAATGGTTAGAACTACCCAGCTGAAATGAAAATTACTTCACTTCCCCCATTACTATAAAAATCAAATACTCTTTACAAACATAATCTGGTACAGCTCCCAGACTATTTATCCTTTATTTATTGTCTTCTTTTTACTAGTCCATTGAGGGACATGAATGTTATTTCTAGTGTTTCAGTATTTGTTCATTATCATTCTTGCAGTTATGCCAAATCTATATAATTAAGTAGAATGAAGCCATGGTAATTAGGCATTAGCAGCAGAAGTAACCCAATGAGTTATCAAGGCCAGACTTTTGCTACTGTAAGTAACAATGGCCTGTAATAATTCATAAATTAGATAATTTCCACTTTAAAACTAGATAGGCTTTTGGATAAGCATTGATTTATTCAATCTCCCTGCTATTCCTGCCATTAATACTGTCAATTACAGCATCTATGCCTAGACATGACACACAGTATATGTTTTGTGGCATTGCAACTCCCATGGTCACACAGAAGCTGCATCTGGCAAGGTTTTTGACTTTTACTGCTCATGCAAGAAGCTGGCTTGGGTCACCAAACTTTTTTTTTTTTTTTTAATCTTTAACAAAAGCAGATCAAGTTAAATCCTCTTCTTCATAGCACTGTTGACATAAGTCATTCTGACTGTTTGTGAAAGAACACTCCCATTGTGGGAGTTGATTAAAGAGGTTTCTCTACTCCCTCCTCAAAAGAAAATTTTAGAATGGTACAAATCACTGGATTAATTTGCTCTATGAAAAAGGGATTACACGCGAATAGTAAATACTAATGTGGACATGTAAGAGATTATCAATTTGTGCATAAATACAAGGGGACAGCTAGTTTTCTTTTTCAAAGAGTAAAAGTCATTATAAATTTTAGCTGAACACTTTCCATCTGATGAATGAATATGGGAAACTGGAATTAATATGTGAACTACATAACTTTCCAAAATTCATCACCCTTACCAACTATAGGAAACTAGAGGGAAAACTCCTAGTCCAAGACTGTGCCTTTTTAATTTTTTTTTTTTACATTTTCTAATTGTTTTTATAATATCAAACATCGTTAATAATTCTTAAGAAAATGCACAAGGAGTACTATACCAAACTCCAGAATGTACTGATGGGCTTCATCCACGTATCTTATAAGTTGCTGAAGGAAACTGTAGGCAAAGCGTTTCTCGATAGAAGGTGTGTCTAATTCCAGGTTCTTAAGTCCTCTGTAAGAAGCAGCAAGTCAATTTTCACACATGCAGGAGGACTTAAAGCAGTCTTACTTCTCCATGTAGTCTGACACCATTTTCTCTAGTAATGATTAATTGCTTATTAACATAAGAATTGTTCTGCATTTGGGGTAAACAGTATTCTTAGGCTTATTTAGGTTTTGAGCAATTTGTTAATATACAACTCAAATTTTCCAAGTAGAAGGCTACAGAAAAATGAGACTTGTCAATCAAAATCCATTATCATTGTAATTTCTTTCCCTTACCTGTAAGGCATTACTGTCTTATATTTCCCTGCAGGGATTGATTCTTGGGTGAGGGAGTTTTGAAATGGCCAAAATACTTTGATTCAAACAATCAAACCAGAAGTAAATCTAGTCTCCCCCATCATGGCTTTCCCCCAAAAGCCTGTTTGTAATGGAAAAACTACAAATAGCTACGTGACATTTGCGAAAAATCAGGGGAAAATTGAAACAAATTGATGGAATTGCAGTTTACCTTTTCCAGTATGTTCCATTATAGTTACTAGTCTGATATGAAAAGCGTACTTCTTTCAACTAGTATGAATCTGCAAAGTGGTTCCATGATGTGGGCTGAAGCCCACTAGCAACAAGCTGGCAGTGACATAAGCCTTGATTCTGCAGGATCAGGACTTTAATGAAGGCACGTGAAGAAGCTGTGCTTAACCAACAAGGGAGTCAGTCACCCCACTGTCAGAGGCACCAAGTACTGTTACTCTGCAAGTTTAAAAGGTATGCCTACTGAATATAACTGCCTGCATAGTGCCCATTTCTGCTTTAAATGAGAACATTGATGATAGCAGGTAGGGTTCAGTTTCAGAAAAAGAGATTCTGGAACTAAACCAGCTTTGTCAGCTGATACTTGTAAGGGTACAATAGTGTCTGCTTCATTAAGGTTATCTGATCAAGAACCTTCTCAATCCAAAAGGGGGTAGTAAGAGGGAAGCCATAAACAACAACACATAGAGATGCAAACCTGGTAGACAAGGGATAAAGGAGACAATACTGGAGACCAAAAGTCTCCAGTTATTAATTAATGGGCTGTTAAGAAACTTCAGACACAACTTTGGAGAGGGCCACCTGGATTTTCTAAATCCTAAAAGGAGCAGACATGAAGAACATGAGGATTTGGAGTATTTGAAGCATGCCAGAGGAACTACACAAACTAATGATGGAATGTGCAGAGCAGAAAGATGGAGGGAGAGCAAAGGGAAGAAAAGACAAAAAGGGGTACAAAAGGGGTAAGTCACATGTAAACTGTGGCCTGTCAATACAGTTGTCTGACTGAGCCCTGCACCTCATCACTAGAGTCTGTCCTATCTTCTTATTAAATTCTTTCTTAACTCTCTCTCTGTGTAATCTCACTCGCTATCCCACATGTACGTGTATGCTGCGAGGAGTCCCAGCTACTGGCAAGACCAGCGTGAGTGGATACAGGGCCAGCAAGTGGAGTCAGACATGGGGTGTAGGTGCCCCCAGGCCTGTGGTGCCAGCAACAGGAGTGAATAAGGGTCACAGCATCAGTTGGAGTGGCCATGGTTTTTGGGAACATCTCTATGGGTTCTACAGACTTAGAGCCCAGAGTGCAAGCTACTGCATAGGACTGGTGTGGGTGGATAGTGCTAGCAATTGGAGTCAGAGAGTGGGGTGGGTAAAGTGTCCCTGGTCTGTCGTGTCTGCAACTGGAGCAAGTGGGAGGCCCAGTTGCCAGCCACTGGGGTGAGAATGCTATGTCCCCCAAAAAACAGCTAATGGTGGGGGGCAGAGTCAGTGAGGCAAGTGAGGGGCTCAGTGCCAGCATGGCCATGTTGCCTTAGTGCCATGTGCTTGGCAGGGGGCAAGTGGTTGTATCTTCCCTAAACCTGGTCTGCATCAGGGTCCACTAGACTAGAATGGTCACTGTCAAGTAAAAGACTGAAAAGAAATGTGTGCAAGTCATATGTGGCAGAAAGTCAAGTGGTAAGCAGACCAAAGAAAAACATGAATCAGATGCTTGTTTGTTTAGACAGCACAGTGGTCACAGGAACAGCAGGTACATTGATTTTAACTTGATAGAAAGACCTGCGCTTGACTAGCACAGGAGGATGTCGATACAGCAGGAACTATTTGCTAGATGATGGGTGTGTCTGAGTTAATGATAATCTTACCACCCCTCTTAGCCTTCCACTCCTCAAAAAACCAAAAGCCACTTCTCACTCATTTTTAAGTTAGACAGAAATAAAAAGATTAGTCAAAAAGGAACAAGTAATCTTGAATACAGCTGAGGAGACTTTTGTCATTTTGACAGGGGATGAGAAAAGAAACCTTTGCTGACTGACATCCTTCTTTGTACATCCTACTCCACTGAAGGAAAGTAAATTGAATTATTCCAGCTACCCTGAAAGATTTTACCTAGAATTATTAGATTGGCTGTGGGACTCTATAAACGGGCTGAATTTCATATGGGATATAAAAGAAAGGAAGTAGGCAGATTTTAAGTAGATGTGCTAGGCTAATTAATTCACAATGATTACTTAAATACATCTCTGTGGCTGTTTCATTCACTTACTAATGTCCAAGTCATATAAATCTCAGATATGCTTTCAGCCTTTCCTAGTGACTCATATTTCCTCAGCCATGCTGAGGCAGACAAGCCTCCAATTTAATTAAAATTTTATACACACTGCATTTAGTAGGAAAAAATGTCATATTAAAACCAAAAGGAATTATGCATATTATTCTGCAAAGAATAACATGTATACATACTCAATTATGAATCTTCCATTGATTACTTCATTTATTCACTATTATTATATTTACAGTGTGGATTGTTTAAAAAAAGTTTAAAAACATCACTTTTCACTTTTAAAATATTTTACAGCAGTACAAATTAACTCAGTTGAAAGAAATTACTAGCAGATTTTAGAAATAAAACTGTCTTGTCAAAGCAATTGCCTAGAAATTCCTATGGAGAGGTGCATGAGCCTGACCTGTAATGAAGACTTAATAATTCTATCCCTTGCAGAAAATTAACAAGTTTACTAACAGTTAGACGTGTGGAGACACACAAGAAAGAAAAAAGCATTCTGCAATGTTGAGAGGAGAGGCAGAACACATGCAAAGATTCTGGAGAACTCTATGCCTTCCAAAACCCCTGCTACTAACCCTGTAATCCATTTCTTCCTTGCAATGTTCTGTATGAAGGAGCTCATCCTTACTCCCATATACTGAAACCTAAAAATTAACATAGATTCTTTTTTTTTTTTACAAAAAAAGGCTAAAGAGGAGTGTTAGAAACCTTCTGTGACACTAATACTGAACAGAGAATTACCTGGAAACAACATATCCATTAATCTGTAGAAATTTCAGGATGTCCTGTGCTTTTTCTCTATCCTTGGCTTTTTCTTTGGCTGTGAGTGTATCATAAGGAACAAGAAGAGGATGGTTGCCTCCTCCTACTACAGAACATCAAGAGAATTAAAAAGCAGTTAAAGAGTTACCTGTTGACATGGTAAGTCCCGCTATGTAAAGGCACTGTCATCATAATACATAGCACATTACAGTAAAATCTAGTCTGAAATAACAAGAATGCACTTTTCTGTTTCTTTACACAAACCTAAAAAATATTCAGATAGAAACTTTAGATGTGGCTGCAAACATTGTTCTAACATAACCAACTGCTGCAAGTACCAGGTAAATATGTTGAACCTCCTGCAAAAACACTTAAAGAAGAAAAAAAGCACTTAACTGTTATGAATGTGTATTATAATTACAACTCCATTTAATGAAGCTGAAAATATTTCAATAAATAACACATCATTTCATAAGAAAACCAAGATATAATCAAATATATACAAGCAGTGTCCTGCTTTTAAACATTCTGATGACATCAAAGAGGGTTCATTGAATTTAGCAATATCTAAAAATATATGGAAGTGATACAGCTCTACTTTATAATAATAAACTAGAGACAGAAAATTAGACTATATTATTCATATGTGGTTCAGACAATTGTCTAATCTGATCAAAAGAATGCTGCCAAAACAGAGACATAAGCAGAATAAACTGCATTTGTATTGCTTACAAATACCTCTCTGAATGTAGACGGTTAATTTGGCAGGAAAATAAAGTTGCTATTATTAATATAAATATCTGCATAAAAAGCAACATTCTTAGGATTTCACCTTCTAAAATCACCACTGTACAGTAAAACACAAGAAATTCCTATGATGATTGCTACAAAACCCCAGGAAATTGTAAGGGTAATGATCAGACTTATCTCTTGTTTTTTCTAACACTACAGCAAGTCTCTAGTAATAATATTTTTAAAAAGGAACAAATTCCCTCCAGAAAATATTGGAGACATATCCTTAGGTGATTTTGTAAGCCACATATTCTAAAATTTTCCATTAGTCCTGCCTGAATCCATTTAAGTACACACAAAATGGTAAGCTAGTGAGCAAGTCTGATGGGGGGGGGTGTTGTTGTTCGGTTTGGGTTTTTTTTAGGAAGTACAGCCTTTAACATTGGGATGATTGGATTGGATTTTATTTTATTATCACAAATGTGATCTAATTCCACCTTATTACAGCTGAAGACAGACATGCAAAAATGCATATAAGCATAGTAAGTATAGATGCCCACCTATGGAAGCCATTAAGACTAGAATACATCGTTCAGTTACACATTCAAATACACGCCAAGTGTTCAATGAAGGGGAATGATACTTGCAATTTTCAGGTGGCTAACATACTTGTGTACGTGAAAAGCCTTAAATGAAAAATAGGAGTATTCTGTATCTGAAGTCTGCATTATGATTCTGTTCCTTACACATGTATAAAAAAAAAATTCAAGAGTAGCATATGTATATACTGGAGGAAAAATGCCACATTCTTGACGCCATGTTTTGCTCAGCTGACAAATACATCTATTTTTCACACAAAGAAACTCTCCATCAGAAGCCTCTCCTTCATTCACTGTAGCTGCCTCTAGCCTTCCCAGTACTACGCTCGTTTGCACAACACTACAAGTATTCTCATTGAAGTGCTGCTCAGAGGCAAAAATCTGCTTTCAAAGCTGCCAAATACAGTAGATCCGTCTAAATATCTAGTCTTCCTGCAGTCTACAATTTCCCAGACTTGGCCTATCCTGTGGCTAATTATCCCAAAGAAAGTTTTTACAAAAAGGCTACAAAAATTAAAATAAAAGCTGTACTAAGGGGAAATACAACTAAAGGCATGGAAATTCATGGTGATTTATCAAAGTCACTTCCAGGTAGAACTTTACTTTTTCATAAAACCTTAACTACTGTACCTTTGCTGGAAGTTTACAACTAATAAAAAAAACAAGCATACAATTAAAAAAATACCTATAGTTAATATTACCTTTTGCTTCAAGCTCCATTTTCTTTTTCTTTGCCCATATGTTATGGTAGTTTTCAGCCATCATCTCAGCCATAGCCTTAGGAAAATGGAGAACTTAGTGATACATGTTGCAATTGTTAACCTCCAAAAAGGACAATTTTCTGGTTGACATTAAATAACAAGTTTTGTTCTCAGGGAGGTTCAGTACAATTACACTGTAATGGTTCACTGAAAACAAGAGTTTTTATTGAAAAATTATGATACAGAATTTGGGTAGGATAGGTATATGTATAGGAATTAGGAACCTGGTGCTGAAGAGAAAGCTGTTAATATGAAAAAGGAGGAACCACAAAGAGCACTGGGCTGTCAGATGGGGACTTAATTCTCAAAACAATGCCAGCAAGAATCCCCTGAAGGCACTGATAAGAGAAAGAAAGAACAGCAAGCCAGAGGACTGAATCAAGACTTTTTCCTGCTGGCTGCAGCAGACTGACTATAAACCAATGGATATAGCCTGGTCGAGGTGGATACTCATTTGTGTGAGCACACTGTTAAAAGCACCAACCATTTTACCAGGGACTCCATAGATGCAGCCACAGTTTTTTATTCAGCATGAAATTCTCCTCCAGTGTGCACAACAGAAAGTAAATTATTCCTATAAAACAAACTCTTTCAGACTGGTAAACTAGAAGCTAGACCCCCAAACTAAGCAGAACACAGACAAGCTCTCCAGTCTCTAACTAGTAGGAACTATTTCAACATGAAACAACGTTTTAAACCCACCTCTCCTGTCCTCCTGATTGTATACCCTCTAATTGTACACAATGGTGGAATTTTCTGTAGATTTCACTAACTTCTTTCATGGACCTACAGAAACATTTTTCTCAGCTTCAATAAAGCTTTTGTGTAACTGATATTTCTCAATACCAACTTTATTTGGGAGAGTACTCATGAACTCAGATAACAAATTGAAACTTTTTGGCCATATCTTGTTTGTTTATAGGACAATTTGTTTCATAAAGTTTTCTCCAGTGGATACATCATTACACATTTCTCTCCTGTATGGTAGATGCCTTCTATCATGCAACTTCTTGCCCTGGTGTTTTGATAATCCAGATTAGGACCTTGGAATAATGTAGTGTACTCTGAGGTTTCTTTCCTTGGAAAGCAGGGTGCTACGAAGATGGTCTTGGAGCAAGACCTTGCCACTCACAGATCCAGGATGTGACCAGGTGACCACTTAAGACCAAAATGAGAAGTATTTCCCAGACTTACTGTTTTAGACATGGTCATGATCCCTGCTAGCATAGTATATGCACAGAATGACATAAACATTAAATAGCACCAATTCTTATGTACTAGTTAAAAAAACCAAATCATCAAAAACAACTTTGTTCAAAACAACTAACATTTCCCAGTAACTTAAAACAAGGTTGAAGAATCTAACCCTGAACTCCAACTTTGAAGATATTAAACATTAAAAAAAAATCAAAATTACATAAATTTTATTTTTAAAACTCAGATCTCATTAATACATAACATATTTGGATATTTCCTGAATGACAATATCAGGGCAATTAATGCCTGAAATTGCAGTTTAATTAAATTTGCTTAGCTTTTAAATAACAGATTCTGAAGCTGGTTTCAAAGAAGGCCTTTCTTCATAATTAAGGACAAAGGAATCATAAAGCCAAGCAGCTCTGCTTTATAGCTGAGGGCTACAAAGGAAATAAAATTAATGACAAATGTTAGAGGGTATAGCATAAAAGAGTAAACAAGGGAGTAATAGAAGTTCTAATGCCATATTTTTTTGTGATTTGTGACAGGATGGTTACTTTTCTCTGGGTTTGGTTTACTGCATCATAATACTATGATGATGTTCATATCAAGAGTTGTTTCATGAGCATTAAACAAAGTCTGCACAGTCTTTTGACTACACTGAGTCTATACAGATGCTAAACAGTGCAGATGAGATGCTTAGGGACATGGTTTTGTGGTGGTCTTGGTAGGTTAACAGTTGGACTTGATGATCATAAAGGTCTTTTCCAACCTAAATGATTCTATGATCTATGTAATTACTATGAAGCTGTTCCATGAAAGTGTAATGACAGAAGTAGTGTTATTCAATTATCAATTTTATTAACTCTTTGGAATTGTCAGAAATCTACTGAATGTTTTAACTCAAGTATGATAGTTAATCAGCAGCAAATTCTTATTATTGTAAAGCTAGTCAGCAATCTACAATGGTCAGAAATACAAAACTGGAAACTATAAGATATGAATCAAGGAGGGGAAATCCAGTATGAGAATTTGATCAAAGATACAGTATAGTATATACTGTACAGTTAGCCACTACTACTGCGTGTTTCACTGCACTATGACAGAACTCAGTATGGGCAAACTTAACCCTATGTTTCAGGAGGTTTTTTGTAGCCAGCTTTGAATGCCATGTTACCATCACTAGACTGGTACAAACACTCATGCTAGCTAATTTAAAACTACCTAGTATATGTCTACATAATATTGTAAACATACTCATGGTAAATTAGTAGACTATAAAAACTAGCACCATAGTCCATCAAACACCATGAAAAAACCCTTAACTTTCTACCATCATTTGTTTATCAACTAAAAAAAATATTGTTCCAAATAAGAGGAATCTACTGATAGATCTGTCAAAATCCTACCCTCAACTTCTTCATTCTCTATTCTCATATTTGTTGCAACAATCGTTCCTCATTCTTATTTCTTCAGTTTATAAAAAAGAGCAATGACAAAATATTTTGGGAAGATGGTGGAGAAATGAATGATAAACAGAAAAAAGCTGATGCTGCAAGCTCTTCTAAACAGGATTCTCTTCAAACTGACAGATGTTCATAAAGAGAGCTGGGAAAATCAATCCAGGACTAAAATAAACTCTGAAGCTTTGATGAACCCACCACCACCACCACCACCTCAAAAAAAAAAACCAAACCCACAACCCACAAACCAAAATCAAAACATATCAAAGTAACATAAGGCACCAAATTTGTTTAAAATTAACTAGCAGAAAAGAATAAAAATAAATTATAAAAAACGGTAGGCATATTAAGTGTTTCTGACTTACATGTACGTCTCTGGAGAGGGTGACATTGCTCATATCAATTGCTCGAGGAGTGTAACCATGGGCTGTATCTACAGAGATCTGAATGACAAATGTGCAGAACAGTGGAGTTATACAAGCATTTGGTAAGAAGTTAACATTAACAAGATACTGAAAGTAATGAAAGAACTTAAGGAAAAAATCACTTGTATGTCTCTAGAGAGCAAAAGGATCCTACATAGCCCAGCTGAAAACACATCAAGAGCGGAAAACATAAATGAGATTTAGGCAAAGGTCTACATATTTTGTTCCCAAAGAGAGACAGCCATCAGACGAAATGTCTCTCATTCAAATTCAAATTTCACTTGAACTCATTAAAGATTTGAGCTCATTGTGGATAATGCTGCAGGTGAATTATCAGACAATCTAGTTTAAGCTGTATTCAGTCAAAAATCAAACTTTGAATTTGGCTTTTCAACCCTATTTCTACAAGTAGCAATAGAATCTAGTAAATAAATATCTTTTTCCTTCTGTGCCTCCTCCCCACTCAGAAAATACCACCATTTTGTCATTCTTTCTTTCTGCTGCCTAAATTTGTCACAGGTTTGCTTGTTACATTGGCACGAATGTTTGAAGAAGGATAAATGATGACTGAGATTCCCTGGATGGAAAGCTACTGATGCAAGAACATGGTCTGAAAAGGGGCATCGCTGGGCTTTCCTCTATGGATTCTGCTGTAACAGATACATGTCCCCCACAGGTACACCCTCCTTCAGAAAGAACAGTGTCCAGAATTTTGTTCCTATGTCTGATATTATTTTCATATGTGTGTATATGAGCACGTACAAGGCCTTGAAGTTTAAAGGCCTCCTTTCAAAATGCAGGTATTTTTAATAGAGAATAACACAAAGGATGTACAAGCAGCACACAGTAAATAAATACTGGCAAAGTATTGTAAAGCAAACAATGCAAGCATTCACATTAACATGAATATACTGACTAAATATACTTAAAGTTTCTCAGCTGAACACAGGAAAATGCTATTTTGTGTGTGTGTGATGACAGCACAACACATTTTAAACACAGGATGAGTATTAATATGATAGTGTACTCTGAAATACGGAAATACTTTAGGCTTCAGAAACTCTTCTAGAATATTTATGTAATTTCATTATAGTAAGGAAGACTGTAATTTAGCTACAAAAGATGTTTTCATGTGTTCATATAATTTGAATCTCAACTGTAAGGCCAGGTCATACTAATGACCTCCTTATGCTTAAAGTATATACGAATATCTCTGTCAAGTATAGTCTCTGGGGCTGGTGTTATAAAGTCAAGAAATTTGGAAGCCAAGAAATTTGAAAGGCAATTTTCCCCTCAATTTTACTTCCCCTACTGGTTTGGCTTCATGTGTGTCTGTGCAAATGGGAGAGAAAGAGATTTTCTGCCACCTCCAGTTGAAGTACAAAGTATATAGAGCTCTAAGAGAATATAGTGCCAGTATTTCTTCATTTTATCTTTCCAGCATTTTGATTCAAGAAGGCTATTCTAAAGGAAAAAACCCCTATATTTAACATTTTCAGAATTTTGGCTGCCTATAGATCTAAACTTTATGCATTAATATTGATGTTTGCCTTAATTTTTCCCAAAAAAGAAATAAAAATAATTTTTATATGTACCTTTATTTATTTCTTTACATGCTTAAAGGCATCCATAGCCACCAAATTCCAAAAAATAGAAGACTAAAATCATATTAATACTCGCTATTAAGGTGTAATCACCTACTGATGTAAATAATTCCCCTAAATAATGTAGTTAACTTAAAATCAAGTGAACAAATACATTCCTCTTTCATATTTGTTCAGGGTTTTTTTAAAATGTTTATTAACATATTACTTTGGAACAGCAGAAGAAAGTTCCAGCTTCAGTGACTAGAAATCCAAACCAGTCTTCAGAGTTGTACAACAGCTTGTGAAAAATGCTTTCACATATTTTTATGCTACGGGCTTATTTCATCACTTGTAAAATCAAAGATTGGAGAGATGATTTTGCATGCCTTTTTTTAAAGTAAGTTTTTAATAAAATGGCTCACTTGACTGGTTTGAGATATGCGACGTGTCCGATTATACAGTGCCATGGAATCTCCTTCCCGTGTTCTTTCAATTCGCCATCCCCATGCCAGCATAGTTTTCAGTGATTCTTTGATTGGCCATCGATAAATTTCTTTCTCCTAGAAGAATGCACATGCAATAATTGCCTTGTTTATTATGTAGCTGTACAGAGCAAAAAATAACTATTGGTCTTTGCCTGGTTATACTGAGATGCAAAGAAATGCACTGAAATCAGCCCTTATGGCCCAGGGATACTGCAAAGAAGCAAATAAATCATACAAGATACAAAAACGTTTATCATTTCAGAGGTGGGCAGAAGAATTCTGGCCCTGAGGAAAGCTGATGATCACAGGGGTAATGGTTTTAATGGCATGCTCAGATATAAACTCAAAGGTGGAGCAGTAATTATCAGCAATATTTCGTCTGCTACTAAAACAAAAAGACATAATCATAGAATCATAAAAAAAGTCTGCGTTGAAATGGACCTCTGGACATCATCTGGCTCAACCTTCTATTGAGGTCAGATAAGCTAACCTAATTGGGCTATCAACAGCTATCAAGATTAGGTTGTCTAGGGCTTGCCATGTCATAGCTTGAATATTTCCAGTGCAGGTGATTTCACCATTTTGCTGGACAACCTATTCCATTGTTTAAGTTGTCAAGATAAGAAGGATTTCCAGAAGCATTTCTGTGGAAGCAATTTACACCCATTGCTTCTTGTCCTGTCACTGTGTATTCCGTCTTGGCTATAAGTAGCATTTAGGTACTATCAAAACAAGATTACATCCCCATCAGTTTTCCCTTCTTTAAGCTGAATAAACCCCAGATCTTTAAGCTGAATTAACCCCAGCTGAATTAACCCCAGTTTCTTCATTTATCACGTTCTCCAGCCTTCCTATCATCTTCGTGGCCCTCTGTTGAAGACGAGACAAAGCCTAAACCTAAGTCTTCACTCTGGCAATATGACACTTCAGTTTCACCATAAGTTATGCCATGTAAATTCAGCCATGAGAGAAAATAGGTTGAGTGGCCTATTTATTGTACAATAAAACCCTTCTATCTCTTTTAAAGATTCTGAGGAAGGCAGCAATCACACAGCTGATGTCCTCTACATAAGTTTTTAAAAAGTGATGTAAACAGAAGGTGATATTTTCACAGTGAATGAAGCAATCTTTCAATTACCCTGAATCAAGAATGAACAAATTCCTTACCTTTTCAGACAGTAACTTATATTGTTTCATTAATGGTTGCACTTTTGCAGATTCAGAATATGTTTCACCATACGTCCATCCATTGGCAAACTGAAAACAGTAATAATAAGAGAGGAAAAAATGGGGAAAAGCAAAAAATTATGAAAAATCCTATTTTTATTGGTAAAAAGGAACTGAAAAATACCTCTGCAGAGCTGTTCTCTTAAAATTTCCTTTGTACTATTTTCTCAATGTTTTCTTAACCAACATGTATCTATATCTATACATAATGAAATGAATCATGTAGCATGTCCTCTTTTTGAGAATTAATGATTACACAAAGATAACATTTCAATATATTTTTCTTTGAAATACTTATATAGAGCAAAATACTGGGCTACAGTTGAGGAACTATTTTTAATACTGGACACACAAACTGCACAAAAGAATAAAAGCCCTAAAGAAGTTTTTTGGTTAAAAATTTGACATTTCAAGTTAATAAAACTCTTAAAAAAATAGCAAGTATATTTACTCAAAAGTCAAAAATAAAAATAATGAAATGATGAAACACTACTTTGAAATACTCGTGTGCACTTACAGAACTTTCCCCCCTAAATGCATTTCAAGAAGACATAGATTTGTATCTTACCTACTTACCAACTTGTAGCATTAGGAAAAATAATATTCAGAATAAAATATTTTAAAGATTAAACAGATTCAAATAAAAATTCTGATTTTGCTTTAATAGGAAGACAGTTTTTACCTTTTCCATCGACCATTTGTCATGAGAGTGTTCTGCATATTTGTTAATGAAATATTCTAGCTTTTCAGGGATTGTAATGCTGAAAGTGAAGAGAAAAATATCCATTATATCATACATGCTAAAATGTGAATGCTTTTGTTTTGAAGGAAACTTTCAAATAAATAATTAGTAGTGCATATATTGATTCAAAGCATCTTACTGTGCTCTGCCTCCTCACATACAGTTTGCTCTAAGCCACAGTTAAATCAAGGAAAAAAAAAATCTGAGTTATTTAATGGGCACTGAATTACAACCACAGCTGTTGTAAGAATTTTACTTCTTTGACACACATGTGCAGGGAAAAATCCATAACGATACCAAGCACTCATGCTTTTTGTCACATATTTCTATTACTAGCATTCATTTTGTTAATATTAAAGATACAAGTATGACACACAGTTTCAGAAATAGTGGTAACTTTTTGCACATGTCCATTATAAACTGTGTGCAAACAGTCCTTTTTGAAAGACATCATCTATTTTATATATTCCTATAAATTTTATTATATGCTTGAAGCACTATAACTTATGACAACTCAAAAGTTATGCTCTCAACACTTTATTTTCCACAACCCAAGTGAATATTAAAAATATGAAAATCCTTATTAAAATAGAAAAAACCACAAATAAATATTAGCCCTTCAAAGGGTGTACAAGACTGCAGAAGTTAAGGTTTCTTAAGCATTAAAGGAAAAGCAGCTATCCTTAACTGTCAAACAAGCACTAGAGACAGAATCCTCTTACAGAAATAATTTATCAAATATCAA